TTTTAACCTTTAGCATTTTATTTAATTACCTTTATAGCTTTTTAAATTTATCTTATATTAAAAGGTATATAGGATAATAGGAAATTATAGTATTTTTTTTAAATTTAATAGTTAAATTGCCTTTTTTTAAGTAAAAAAATATATTAGCTTTATTTATATTAAAGAAATTAATAAAGTTATAAAACTCCTATAAAATACTATTAAGTCCTATATAAAATGTATATAATTTTAACTCTTCTAACCAAATTAATTTTAATAATTAAATAATCGTTTAATAATATAATTTATTTTTATAAACTTTTATAAACTAATATAAGGTAAATATTTTAAAGTAATAAACTTTAAATTTAAAAAACTAATAATTTATACCTAAATTTAATATAATTCCTTAATCCTTTAAGGTAATTTAGGATAATAAAATAGGGTTACCTTTTAAGCAATAATTATAATTAATAGCTATATATATACATTTAAACTTATAAATAATACCGCAATTATGAATTAATTTATAAATAACCTAATAGGCCCTATATAACGGAAAATTACCGCCTATAGTATGTTATAATAAAGGGGTTCAAAAAAAAGCTTTTTCCAACTTATAATAAAGTATAAAAGTAAAGCTAATATAATTATATTTAATATAAGAATTTAGCTTAATATAAGTTTATAAAGGTGGTTTCTTTAAGCTAGGTATACAGATTATATAAAAGGTATAAAAATAATATATAATAGGTATATAAAGGGGTAGATTTAACCTAATGCCTTTTATTAATTTAAAAGGTATTAAACTTCCGGTCTATTTCCTAACTATTTATTATATTCCAAAGGATTATAGCGTTTTAATAAAAGGGGGGTATAAAAATAATATAGTAATTATTGTTCGTTTTTAACCTTATCCCGCTTTTTATTCATTTAAACTTTTTAAATAGTTTATTTTTATACTATATAGCCTACATAATTAAAATTCCGGTCTTATTTAGGTTAAATACAATTTAAAGCAATATAACTTAATTAACTACAATTGAAATAAACTATTCCTTTATAATTTCTTTAATTTAGTTTATTTCTATTATTACTTTATAAATAATTTGAAGAAGCTTTAAAAAAAGGTCAACTTCCTAAAATAAAATTATTAAATTAACAGTTTTCCTAATAATTAAAACCTTAAAGACATTAATAATAACTATTACTATTATTTCCTTAATAGCTATAACTATTATTATTACTTTAATAATTATTATTATTACTATTACCTTTATAACTATTAATATAGTTATAGTTAAAGCTACTATTATAGCTATTATTATTATATCCTTTATATTTATTTTTATAATTATTATTAATAATTTAGCTATTACTTTAGCTTTAGTTTATATTTATAGGTAGTTTATTATTAATTTAAGTATTTTTTAGTTTAAGCCTTTTTCTTCTATAATTAACCTATTAATCCTTATTTATTAATTCCTAACGTTATTATACTATATTAATTATCTTAATCCTAGTCTTTAATAAAGGGTTATAGAAATTCATTAATTCCTTTTATAGGGGTTTACCTAATTTTCAATAATATAATAGGGCTCTTTTACCTTTATTTTGTCTTAAATTTTAACTTTTAATATTAGTTAAATATTAGTTAAAAAGTCTTAAGTCTTAATTAATATATTATATAGCCCTTTTAAATTATATATTAATATTAACTTATAAAAAGGATAACTAACGTAATAAGATTTTAATTTAATTTAAAAACATATTTTAATCAAACTTTATTTATTTTCTTTTTATATATTTAAATCTTTTCTTTATAATTTGGTATATATTTTTATAATCCTTATTTATTTTACTATATATATAAAGAATCTTAAGGGTATTGGTTTTAAATTTATAATTAACCCTACGGAATATAGTTTTCAATTCTTTTATTTATTCCAACTATTTTAAATAAATAAATTTTATATTAAAGGGGTTATAATTAAACTTAAAAAGCTAACTTAAATTAACTTCCTTAAAAAAGTAGCATTTATAATAATATATATAATTTAAATATAATTAGCATATATAACTATTCTAACTATACTTTATATTAAAGCTAGATAATAAAGGGTTATTATTATTAAAATTGCCCTTTCTTCGGTTCTAATAATATTGTTGATTATTAAAGGTCTATAAATTATTAAGGTTAGAATAATACTCCAACTTATTTAAACTTAATGTTTTTAAGTTCTTTTTTCTTTTATTTAAATATAATTTAAAAAAGGTATAGGTTACCTTTAAACTTTAAATAATCTTCTTTCCTTTAAAAAGTTATTTCTTTAACTTTACAATTTTAATTAAGAGTTAAGCATTTATTTATTATAATAATTAAACGTTAGCTTTATTTATTAGATTAGGGTTATTAAAAGATTTTAATAGCTAATTTTAGGTTTGTTGTTCTTTTGGAAATAAATTGTACTAGCTTTATCCTTAAACTATTATCGAAAATTCTCCTTAGTTTAAGTTTCCTAAAAGAACGCTAGCTTTAATTATTTATTTATACGTAAGTATATCGTAACTAACAACGTTATAAGTAACCTTAAGGGGAAGCTTTAAAATTATTATAGGTAGGTTAAATCTTAAAGGTTAGGTATAATATTATAAATCTCTTCAGTCTCATAATAAGTATTTAATAAGACTAAAGCTTAAAAAAGGGAAAAATCTCCTTTAAAGCATATACAAAAGGGGTATATAATATATATAAAGTATATATACTCCAAAAGCCTTAGGATATTATAGTATAACAGTATAAAGCTTAACTTAACCTATTTTATTGCTTAATTTATTAATTAATATTTATAATAGGTTAATAAGGCTTAAAGGTTAATGTAGGTTTATTTTTTAATAAAAATACTTTAAAGTTAATAGTATAGGTATAATTTATTAATACTTTAAATATATACTATTGCTTAAATTAAAGTTTTAAGTTAAACTATACGAATAATAGCTACGGTATAATAATTTTTAGAATTAAAAGATATAGCGATAAAGAGGAGTTAATTCTAAATAGAATAAGGGTAAAAAGTTATCGTAAGACCTAAACGCGGTCGCGTTATTAAATAGTGTTTAATTAGGTAATTGGGAGTTAAAGCGCGTTTTAGGGTGCCTAGGGCCCTGGTCGTGACGGGGGGTGGTCGTGAGGCAGGGTTTTTGCTTATTACAACGTTCTGTGGATAACCCGAGAGAATGGTATTGCATATCGCCGGGCACTTGGGAAACTTGCGATCACAGCCTTGGATGATATTCCCGTCAAATGGGATCAGTTGCAGCTAGGTTAATGCACGAACCTCTGATGCGGATGATAATATTGCATGCTTTCAGATTACGGCAGCTGACGTTCATTTATGCATTATTTCCTTATGCGTATTATATTCATATTAGCAGTAAATATGGGACAAAGTGCAATTGAGTACACAAGTCCCAAGGCTATAATTCAATGAGAATATCTATACTTGATATATATGATTCCGGCCTTAATAGTACCGGTATTGTAGTATATATCACCTTACACTACCTGCTAAGTGTATACAAAAATATGTAGATACAGTAGGTTGTGTACTCTATGACGTGACCCCTGGAAGTTGTTTTGTTTTAGCTGCAAACGTTAGCGATTACCGAAAATACGATACGCTAATCACTGTGGCAAGGCGAGAAAGCCAGCATCAACTCGTCTAAGAATGAAATACTGTTTCTTGCTAGGCAGCTCTTCAAATCCATAAGAACTTCATCACGGCACTATATACGTACTTAAGTTAATAGTGAGACAACCTGGTGCATTTGGATTCCACCGAGCGGGGGTCTACCAAGTTACTACAGGTGCTCACATCTCAATGCTACACCGACTAGTCACATATGAGTGCTTTATGCAGCGATGCTTGTCGGCTCTGAACTCGCTTTCTTCTTGGGGTGAGGGGGCGTTGGTGACATCGAGGGCAGCTCATGCGAATGACGCTGTCCTTGGGATAGAAACAAGGAGTCCACCGTCGACTGAGTTGCGCGACAACGCGTCGAGAAAGACGCCGGGATTTGCAAATACATCAAGAAGATACTGGGCTCACTAGCAAGTTCTTCGTCAAGATGCTACACTATTGTTGCTGCATAGGTAGTAGATGCAGGTATCTAAGTAAGTATGTGGGGGTATTTTCAATTCCAAGATCGGGAGATCGCATTCATCCCTCATCATTCGCTAATCAACACCAACGGGTCGCTTCCGTCATTCCCTGTCGCTCAAGGGCGCGTTTCCTGCTCATTTGTCTTTGCATCCGGCGTCATGGCACCCAGTTTCCGGTGAGATCGGGCATCGATCCATGTTGAGCAGCTTCTCTTGCAACGGACGACGACACTTACCTACAGTAGTATGGATATGCTATAAGCAGACTTTTCGGAAGCATCGTCCTACATCACCGGTGATGCCTCTCTAGACTTGTCAAAGTATCTCTGCAATGTCCTCTATCTGTGATTTTGCGCCCATACTGCGATGCCTTAGCATCAGCTAGCGAGCTTGGTGCATGAGCTGGAGCCCCGTGCCAGTCGCCCCCGGCCCCTTTGATTTCCGCAAGGCACCCTGCCCCGGCAACGACTGTGTATCCGACCTCCCTATTCGGGCCTTGTCTGGGCGTGCCTCCGAGAATGATGCCAAACCCGGCTAGCCGCCCTCTTCCAGCAACCCGGGTCCCGCGAATACCCAGGCTTCCTAGTCTTTCCAACTCCTTCAGTCCGCCTTTCTCAGTACTTGGTTGGCGGCATATTTCCCCCTCTCGTACGTTGTTATCCTCCACCATGCTGGCGCCCGTAACCAAAGAGGATCACAGTCCATGTGAGGCTCGTTGTAGCCTTCTTTCTTTCCAGATCTAGCTTCCCACTGGGCATTCCGGAACGTGAACCGCCTTTCCGCTCATATAGTCGACATCTAGCCGTTCTCACCTCACCACCAAAGCGCATGACAAATTGGCTAAGCTTGTGATCTCTTCTTTGGCCTATCAGGTCCTCTGTTATCAACGATGGGCCCTTCACCATCTCCTTTCCCGTCCAGCCGTCGTATACAGAATCAGGGCATGGCCTCATGATGATATAAACCCTTCATTTCTCCCACATTCGTGAAGACATCCACAGCACGCCTCAAGTACGTCTTCTTCAAGCAGTTTACGAAATCCGACAACATGGCTGCGAAGACTCTTCTCCTTGCTGCCCTGAGCGCAGCTGCTCTCGCTGTTCCTTTTGAGAGTGTCGTTGAGGAGCGCCAGAACTGCGCCGCACAATAGTACGAGTCTCTCGGTCACAATATCTGAATGATTCCGGCATACTAACTGCTGAGTAGCGGACAATGTGGTGGTATCGGCTGGTCTGGAGCTACTTGCTGTGTTAGTGGCAGCACTTGCGTCGCACAGAACGACTACTACAGGTATGTCTCGAATGCAAAGAGCATGTGCTTGGTGCTGACAGGCTTGTAAGCCAATGTCTCGCTGGCGCTTCAACAACAACAACGAGGGCCACAACCACACGGGCATCGACAACAACCAGTGCGACCAGGACTACGAACACTGGAGCTGTAAGCCAGACCTAGTCCACGGGTTGCCAGATCGGTCATGCTAACAAGCCACGCAACAGACAACCACCACCTCTCGTGCTAGCACCACTGGAACTGGCGCCGCCTCTGGCAACCCCTTTTCGGGAGTTACGATGTGGGCCAACTCTTTCTACGCATCTGAAGTTAGTGCTTATGCGGTCCCTACGATGGGCGCCGGCGCTGCAGCCGTCGGCAAAGTGCCGAGCTTCATGTGGATGTAAGTTCAATTCGGGCCTGTTCGTTTAGATGAGCTATATTAATATAATATAGGGACACCCGAGACAAGGTAGACTTGATGGAGACCACCCTAGCAGACATCCGTGCCGCCAATAAGGCTGGTGGCAAATATGCTGGCATTTTCGTTGTCTACGATCTCCCAGACCGTGACTGTGCTGCTGCCGCTTCCAATGGAGAATACTCTATTGCAAATGGTGGTGTTGCGAAGTATAAAGCTTACATCGATGCCATCGTCGCTGTCCTCAAGGAATACTCAGACATCAAAGTCATCTTGGTTATTGGTTAGTACATCAAACACAGTCAATATCAGAATGCTCCCTTTATTAATATCTCGCTAGAACCCGACTCCCTGGCCAACCTGGTTACCAACTTGAGCGTTTCCAAGTGCGCCAATGCCAAGGACGCTTACATGGAGTGCACAAACTACGCTGTCAAGAACCTGAATCTTGACAACGTTGCCATGTATCTCGATGGCGGTCACGCTGGTTGGCTCGGCTGGCCAGCCAACTTGACTCCTGCCGCCCAGCTCTACGCTCAGGTCTACAAGGATGCCGGCTCACCGCGCGCCCTCCGTGGTATTGCCACGAACGTCGCCAACTACAATGCTTGGAAGATCTCCGGATCATGCCCGTCCTACACTCAGGGAAACAGCGTGTGCGACGAGTCAAGCTATATCAATAACTTTGCTCCTCTGCTGAGATCCAACGGCTGGGATGCCCACTTCATCACCGACACTGGCCGTAGCGGCAAGCAGCCCACTGGACAGAACGAGTGGGGTGACTGGTGCAATGCTAAGGGTGCTGGCTTTGGTCTTCGCCCTTCGTCCAATACAGGCAGCGACCTTCTTGATGCCTTTGTCTGGATTAAGCCTGGTGGTGAATGTGACGGCACCAGCGACACTAGCGCCGCCCGATATGACTTTCACTGTGGTCTCGCATCCGCCTTGCAGCCGGCTCCCGAAGCTGGCTCCTGGTTCCAGGCTTACTTCGAGCAGCTTTACAAGAATGCTAACCCTCCTTTTGAGTAAAGGATTCGAGTAGACTATGTCGTGCTAGAGGAGATTTTAGACAACATGGGGACGCGGTGTGAGGTCCCAGGCTTAGACTCAGTTTGGCGGTGTGACATTCTTGTATATAGTTTATTTGCCCCAGAACGCATATAGAAGCCTATAAAGAGCTGATTGCAGAAAGCTGCCTCGCAATTGTGATCCAACTGTATTTTACAAGTTCAACTCGCAAATTTGATTCACACCAGATTAAGTAGGTTGTTGAGACTCGAGAGGGGAGACATACCAAATATTGATATTTAGCTGTCGCCCTGGCGCCCGACCATTGATACTGAACGTAGGTATTCCGTGGCATTGTCCATTTTCAATGCGGTTTTGTGGATTCGCAACTTATGCAGGTGGTAGGTATTCTCGTTGACAAATTCGCATTAATGGCGGGGGTTCGGCGTGCGGGGAAGTAGAGAGAGGAAATCGGGGTTTTCACATCTAATCCAGCTAATTAATCCAGATTTCGACCGGGTTGGCCGGCCACAGTTACATCCACAAGACGTGCGAATAAGAATAAGAATGTGATAGTGTAACCGGGGCTCATATGTCTTAACCTCGCGGCCCCTATACTAGTCGTATTCGGATCTGGATAACTGAATGCTCGGACTAGGGAAGCCCCGTAAGTGGATAACTACTACAGACATTGACATCTCTAAGTCTTCATTAAACTTATGCAATTTAGTATATAAATGCCATTCGATGCCTTCTCGTAACTGACTGACTTGTAGATTCTTGACCTATTACATAGACGTCTTCGCATCCAATCACACAAACAAATTCAAACATGGCCACATCTTCAGCAACAGGAAAGACCGTCGTGGTCACTGGAGGTGCGGGGGGTCTCGGCAAAGCCATTGCCTCCGCTTTCTTGGACGCCGGCGCCAACGTCGCCATCTTTGACGTCCACGAGGGCCGCCTGAAAGAAACAGCTGCCGGGTGGGAGAAGCATGGCGACAAGTTCCTCACATCCCAAACGGATATCACCGATGAGACGGCTGTGACCACCTTCTTCGCTAATGTCTCCGCCAAGTTTGGTCGCATCGACATGCTCATCAACAATGCGGGTGTCATGGACAAGTTCGATGCCGCCGGCACATTGCCTCTAGACTTGTGGAACCGCGTGATAGGCGTCAATCTGACCGGAGCCTACCTGTGCACCAAGGCCGCCATAAATGCTTTCGAGTCGCAATCGCCATCAGGTGGCACGATCATCAACATTGCCTCAGTGGCAGGCGTCCGAGGTTTCGCCGCAGGAGCTGCGTATACGGCTAGCAAGCACGGTCTTCTTGGCCTCGTCAAGAATACAGCCACTTTCTACGGTCCGAAGGGAATCTACAGCCTGGCTTTCCTCCTGGGTGGTATGGACACGAACATTATCGATGCATTTGGGGCTGGGTGGAACGACGAGGGTATGGCTCGCGCTCAGGCAATAGCTCCCGGCTTCGATCCAGCTAAGCAGATGATCTCACTCGGCGATGTTGTTAAATACTGCCTCTTTTTCTCCGACCCATCTGTTGCGGAAACATCCAACGGGGCGATGATCGATATCAACAAGAATTGGCCAGTAGTATAAATGGTTCCCTGAGCACAAGGGGATCATGAGATAGGCACACGGTGTCACATAATCACAAGAATGCTTAACATAGATAACATGGGTACTAAATTCTTACATATATCTCGCTCTGGAACCCTGAACAAGGAAACTATAAATACAACGCCCGCTATTGAAGTCTATCAATCCATATCAGAACAATGTGAAATCTATATATCTATATGTATGACAAGGGTGCCATAAGTAGATATTCGGATAAGAGACCGCCAGCAATAGCGCTGCCGGCAAGCCAGAAGCCGTATCTGAACCACCACCAACAGCTGGCAGAATCCTTCAACTCGACATTGCTGATCATAGCCCCGAGCGATACCGCAGAGCCGCCAGCAGCAATGAGGTAATATTGCCAGCCCATTTGCTCGAGCACGCCGGCCATGGAAAGCAAAGAAATCATGCACGCAAGGACGAGCCATAGGAGCACTTTGGTCTGGTCTCTGAACAGGACAGCGATGCTCTTGACACCGACTTTGAGGTCGTCCTTCAGATCCTGGTGAGCGTAAATAGTATCGTAGATGATAGTCCATAGGATGCTTGCAAAGAAGACGCAGGCGATAGATGGCTTCACCCACAATGCCGCAGATCTTGAAGAGTCGGACCCAAAGGGACCTCCTGTAAAAGGCTTAAGTCCCATGGAGCAAGATCCCATCACGATGCCCCATGCCAAACACCACCCAAGCACGAACTGGGCGAAGTTGGTGTGCCGCTTGGCCCATGGGTAGTATATCGTCCCGATGATGTTCGGCACGGCATAGATCGCGCTTCCGCTAGGCATGAGGAGCAGGAACAGGGCCGCACCGATGCCTTGGCTGACGGTGAAGACGAATGCGGCTCGCGGCGTGATGGCGCCTCGAGGAATGGGACGCTTGCTTGTACGAGCAATCGCTTGATCGATTGGAGCATCGACGAGGTCGTTCCAGCCGTGGGCGGCGTTGGAGAAGAAGAAGCTCCCACCGAACATGACGAGGCCAGCTCGCAAGACTTGGGAAGCTGATGAGCGTTGTATCAAGGCTGCCAGTATGATGCCGAAGAAATGGGGGAAGTATATGAGAAATAAGGCAGCTGGAGGACTCAAACGGGCGAGTTGAACATAAGGAACCCAAGAGGCGGGCAGGCGGCCAACCCAGCCTCCAGAATGGTGACCTCCATATTGCTGAGCAAGGGCAGCATCTTCAAATGCTGCGGGAGTCGAGAGTGCTTCGGCCGTTAGCTTGTTGACAGCTGACTTGTTGTACGTTGGGATATCCTTCTCTCCCATGTTGACTGTGATGAAGATGACAACAACAGACGATGATGATGTTATTCACAGGCACTTGAGCTAGATGTGACTACAAGTGAAAGACAGGAGGAGGAGTGGCTTGAGTTGCGAATCATGATCTGATCCCCAAGACATGTCCTCGAGCGCCACTCCTTATATAGATGCCTTCCCAAGGCCAACGACTCTGAGTAGGGCCAATCATCCTCGGGAAACAACTAGTCTGGCCAGTCATCCATCTGCAACTTCGTACGTAGCCTCAACGGGCGGTGTTTGTAAACGTCTCACTCAGACTCCCTTAAGGCAAAGCAACCCAAGGTCCTCACGAAAATAGTCAGCCTACCCTATCTCTGTCAGCTAGCTCATGGAAACCTCCGCTGGTCTGCCTACCCAGGTACCGTAGGCAATGTATTATTGTCCATATTTAGTCCTCGTCACAGTTCAGCTTCCCACCGGTCATCACAGGATACCGGTCGTTACCCAATTCACCACGAGAAGCTCACCTCATACACCCACCCACTTCTTTCCGATAGTTACAGATGGCAAGGGTGGGTGCCTTAGGACTTGGCCCTTTCCCATTGACTGACTAGGTAACTAACTGGGTCCCTTCACGATGGCGCGACGCAGCGTAGCGCAGCCCTGTATATGGGTCGTATATGGGTCATCGGCCGAACATGTGACTCGGCCACGATGGGAATCCATTCCTACGGGTGCTCGGTGTGTACAACCAAGTGTACCTAAGCATGTGTCGTATTGTACTTGATCCATCCCGTATGTAATCAGACGCCTCTGGCACTAATGCGGATGGCCTTTTCCGACGACATGGTGCGCGCTGGACGATATCTTTCTTACATACACATACATGTCTGTGCTTCTTTTCTGGGTGCCGGTACGTGTCCAGTCCAACGTCAGAACCTAGTCAATAGCGCCCGGTGGTATTGGATGGAGGGGAAAGCGGCACAGTCCGAAATCCCTCAGGACCGGAGGGCATTCTGGCTGGTTGGCTGGTATTGGCTTGCTTGCTGGCTGGCTTGAGTTTGTTACCCCCTCCTCGAACAAGCTGTGACGCGCAGCGCAGCACATCGCCTGTGGTTGCTTTTTTGGATGCCCCCGTCGGCAAGCGTCATTGCGTTTGTCATTACCATCTTGAGAGTTGCGATGGTGATGCGCAATACGGGGAGTTACACTAGTGTAGGCACCGCCCAGATCAGAAAAGCACGGCAAAGTGGCTGACTGCTTACTTTATTTTTATTATCATCGGCTCTATACTTAATTCGCATACGGGTAAGCTGTGATTGTGCTGCCCCATCCTATTCCCCCCCCCCCCCCCCCTTCTTACCCCTGTCCCTCGTCGCCGCGAACAAGCTGAGCAAGTTCCGGCTTTGGGATTGGATCACCCCGGTAGGACCCAGCAATGTGTGCCATCCACACTAGGTAACTAGCTTGGATCCACGGGGCTGAATTCCACGCTTCTCGGTTAACGACTTGGACACTTTGCAACGTCATTGGCAGGCAAACGCCAGCCGCGGCTCTACTGCAGATAATGCAATGCTGTCTTCAGTTCCCTCGCGCTTGTCGTGGTGAACGCTTAGTGTTGATGCCTGGCCACGGTGTATCACATGGAGCTTTCGCTGAGCGTCGATGCAACAGCACAACTCGAAGCGCTGGAGCAACTCAGGACAACAACTCAAATTTACCCGCTCACCGTGGCGCGATGCTGTGTCGTTCGCCCAAGTACGAGCTGGATGCTATGGAAATATCTACGTAGGTAACCTACCTAACCTACTTACCCACTTGGTGTTTTGGGCCCAAGATAAGGCAGAAACTCGGGTCACAATGGTAACCAATAATCAATACTATACAGCGTGACCTCGCGCGCCATTCCCTTTCCTGATGATCCTTGCTAGGATTTCGCTCATGACGTGCAGAAGCCTGGGCGTTCCTCTTGTTCGGTCCTAGTCTACGATCTTTTCGAACCCCTTGTTCGCCTGGCTCCGTCCGAAAGTGGAATATTTTCGTCTGATGTTTAGTTACCATGGCCATGGTTCTGGGCAGTGTCTGCAGGGTTAATGAGTCCTTCGCACACCACGCCCTCGTGACCCGGGGGACAACGTCAGTCTGGTGTAGGCAGCGGTAGTCGGTCGGATGAAACTCATCGCATTGACAGGGCCTCTCCTTACCTGGCCACTCACATGCTTATCTTTTGCTTTACTTCCTCATGCTGTATGTCTCTATCGGTGTTACACGATACGGTCTACGTAGTCTACTGGTAAGGCACGTTAAAGGATGAAGAGCTTTAGGCATTGCAATGTGATCTTTCTGAAACGCCTTGTGGTTTCCTACGTACGGTCCACGAAGAGGATGTGGCTCTCACAACTGCAATGACAACGATTCTTTCATATATCAGGGTAGATCACCCCCAAAATCATAGGGGGAGGTAGACAGGTACGTGACCTATACGTCGGCGTCAACTCTGAAGTCCTGCGACCCAGTCCCCATACCAAATTACACTATTCCAGTTGAAAATGGCTCGCATAACTGGGTCGAGGGTACTAACGATCCTAGCAGCGTTGTTGTGCTTCCCCTCACCCTCGTTCGGCGTGTCTAATCAGACTACTGCATCTAACGCATGCTCCTATTTGCAGAACGTTCTTGGCACCGGAGTTGTCTTGCCCACTGAGGCTTCATATTCATCTGCTTCTAAGGGAAATTGGTACGTCTTAACGTTACATGCAATAGAGAGCGCAGATCATGATGAACTAACGACTAGCAGGGTTCAAACGGCTTGGGCATCACCAACTTGTGTCATCCAAGCGACCACAGCCCAACAGGTGTCGCAAGCAGTCAGGTATCTTTCCCGAGGAGGCGTGCATTTTGCGATCCGCTCCGGAGGGCACTCGCCTGCACCGCTCGGTGCAAATATCAACGATGGGGTCCTCTTTGACATGTCTGGATTCAATAGCGTCCAGTATAACGCCCGACTGGGCGTCGCTGTGGTTGGCACCGGTATGAGATGGGGTGATGTATACCGTCATCTCGACCAATACAATGTGACAGTGGTCGGTGGCAGGATTCTTGGGGTGGGTGTTGGCGGACTCACACTCGGTAGTAGGTGGTTTTCCTCACGCCATGTGCCTCGAGCTAGAGGAAGCGTTGCTGATCGTGTCTTGCAGGTGGGCTGTCATATCTATCCGATCTCTACGGCTTAGCCTGCGATAACGTCGTCAATTTTGAGGTAAGAAGTCTGGACCTTTGGATAGCCACTGTAACCGTGAGGCGTCGACTAAGCATAAAGCCGGCAGGTTGTATTAGCTGATGGTTCCATCGTAAACGCCAATAAGCACTCTCACCCCGACTTGTGGTGGGCTCTAAAAGGTGGCGCCAACAACTTTGGTAAGCCCTCTCAACCAGCTGGAATTGGAGGTGACGAGCAGTCGCAGACGCCACTAACCAGAGCCCCAACAGGCATTGTGACTAGGTTCACGCTCATCACCTACCCGACTGGGCTTGTCTGGGGTGGTTACAGAGTTTACACGCTCGATGCCATTCCAGCCTTGTTCGACGCTCTGTTGGCGTATCAGTCGGTTGCTGTCAAGGACCCTTACGCGAACCTCATGATGCAGGCCTTTCCTCTGAACGGAACGCTCGGCGTATTACTAAACATGGTATACAACAAACCCGTGGGAAACCCTGCAGCATTCACGCCATTTTACGATATCCCCGCCATTGCCGATACTGTCCATATTCAGCCCATGACCGACTTCTTAGCGAGCCAGGTACCCCCGTCCCTGCCGCGGCTCAACTGGTACGCAACCAGCTTCAAGACAGACGCCACACTGTTCGAGACTGTCGAGGAGATCGTCACTACATCACCTGAGCTAGACACCATCAGAAATCTCACGGCTGGCAGCATCGCCGTGGGCTGGCAGCCCATCTCGACGAGCGCCATCATGGCCGGGCACGCTCGCGGGGGCAATGCCCTCGGCCTCGCAAATACCAACCAGACGTGGTTTGTCATCGACATCGGCTGGTGGGATGCAGAGGACGACGCAGTGGCTAACGAGGCGGCGGCGAGCCTGGTCGCCAGGGTTGAAGACGCTGCGAGGACCCGTGACCAGTACGTCGATTACATCTTCATGAACGACGCGGCGGTCACGCAGGACGTCATCGGCCATTACGGGATGGGGAACGTCGCGAAACTCCGCGCGGTGCAGAGACGGTACGATCCACTCGAGGTATTTCAAAAGCTGGTCCCAGGTGGGTTCAAACTGCCAACTGGTGGAAACAAGGGGTGGTGATAGGTAGATGGTTTTTGTTGAGTGATAGTGATGGGTCGTTGTATGTAATGGATATAGGTAGAAAGGTTATTGATGATGTGATATTTCCTCGGCTTTAAAAGCAATAATGTCTCGGAATTGAGTCAAAACGTCAGGTACATACCGACTAGTTCCCCAATAAAACGGCTTGATTGTCAATTCAGAGTCAGGTGCTGTATGTCTCATATGTACCCCCTTTTCGTAAGATAATGAGGGGTATTAATTAATGAGATGCTCAATTCTAACCATGTCATACCTAAACATTCACCCGTTGAAATGCTCTGTTTCTTCCCACAGTACGATGCTTATGATTGAAGACGGATACTGGCATGCTGCGCGTCTATCTTGGGAAGACCCATCGCCAGAGTAGAAAGTCCGAGTGCAACCCACAGCTGTCCTAGACCCTTGCTCATGCAACCTCGTCGCGTGGGCGGTGCAGAGGACATGCATCCTCGCTTCTCTTTTCCGACGCATAGTCCTCGCAGCTTGCAGCTGAGGGCCGGATGGTTGCTGAAGCTGATACTACCGTGATATGGGTTGCGAGGATGACGAAGATTGGCGACCAGGAATCACCGATGGTTTCAACTCGGTCGACGATGCCGATTTCGCGCTCCAGACTGCGAAGAAGTAGAGATCTACACACGTCGGCTCTTACTTACTGCAAAGATAGCAGACCGGTCCAGCCTCACCGTCGATATTGTAACCTTATGCAGGTATTTCTCTGCTTGTCTCGCCTCTATACTCGGTGGATCGAGTCTCTCGGTCCGAGGATCGGTTTCCTGGATAGCCGCAGGACGCTTTCCAGTGTCAGAAGATCCACGTGGCCAGCTAGGTCATGCCTATGACCTACCTACATGCCTACGCACTGCCCACGACCTACGCGACGGGCATACACATACAGCGTGCATGACATCCTGGAGCGCAGATCACTCGGTGGACACAGTCATGGGCTCCTGCAGACTCCTGGCAGATCCTGGGAGGGAACATGGTGTCGTGAGCCCAGCTATGACAGAACCCCCTAGCAACCCGCGGGGTGATCCTGGACAGATGTCCAACCAATAAGCATGTGAATTGGCAATTAATTTGGGAACGAGCTATAGTCGGGACGTATTGCACTTTTAAAAATAAGCTTGAACCAATTGCGTTTCGTCCCAAGATACGACTGATTGGCGGACCCGTACCACACTTTTGGATCCGGAGGATCTGGGAGGGAGGAGGGTAAGGTGGGCTATGGGTTTAGGGGTCCGGGTGGGTTCGAAAGGGGAGTGAGAAAGAGAGGAAGAGAACGATGAGGAAAAACAAAAAAACAATAAAAGCACTTACTTCCCAACCTAGCTGGATGTCAGGCATTAAGCATGCAAGTAAGTTAGCATAGTGGCGCTGAAAGAGTTGGAGTAAGTAACTGATTTTGCTTTTGCGACGAAGAATGGTGTAAACCAGCCTTGCCCGTCAGCTCTCACGCTGACCAACTACACGTGTAGGTCAACGAGTTTGGTTAACCCCTAGATAAACTCACTCATGCTTCCTCACTCTCTCCATCCCCTGACCAGCTCAAAATCAGACGTTCAGATAGACCTGCTCCATCACCTAGTTGCCTTAGGGCCCCCGGTAATCAACCAATTGTATACTAACATCCAGCCCTACCTATCTCAACGCTAGTTTAGGCTCCGCGTCTCTGAGTTGCCCTACCTACATATCAACTATACTCACTATGCCTAGCTTGCTCGTGTGCGTCTATGAGTGTGGTTGGAGGCCTACGGTTTAATCCGTTTGCCTGTCTAGGTCTTCTCGCTGATCGTCGCTGAGCGAGGGACCCCCTGTGGCATGGCTTTGCACATGAGCAAAGCAATGTCAAGCGAATGTGTAGATATCCTAACCTGACCTGACCTACGGTATCATCCCGAGAAACCGTCGGAGTCACGATATCATTCGCGTTCGGTGAACGCTTAGGGACGGACGCTCTCCAGAAACAGAAACAGGCAGATCTTGCTAAGAGCGTGGCATTTGGCCCTGCGGCACAGAAAGCGTGTTGCGGATACCTACCTAGTTGTTCGCTTTTAGCCGACCCCCTTGTCTAGAGCCGCTTGGCTTTCCCATATAGTCAGTAAGCAAGCAAACCTGGTCCTAGAGATCCGTTACCTGCCTGGAACTTTGCTACGTTACCCCGTAACCAGCTCCTTCAGCAATCGAAAGTATGCCTTACACAGGAGCCTGGGGTTACAATGGCTCGACTCCCATCTTATGTAAGGAAGGAAGCTAGGTTTCCCATCATACCCACCGCGCGATGACAGGAATTGCGGCGGGAGGGTGACACCGGCGCTTTTCGCTCTATTGACGGAATGGGATATTTTAGGTGTCAGCATTCAATAAATGGAGGCGGTCCAAAGATTATACGGCATGGCTGGTTGGTCATCCGACAGCGTCGGGCTGAGCCCCGGAGTGACTGACTGGACTTGAGGATCCTTGGAACTAGAGGGCCGCAGGTTGCGTGAAGCCACGCAAACATAAGGGATGGAGGAGCTCGAGTTCGTTGCTGGTATAAAGCGACATCGTGGCATCCTTCGGGCCTTTGTTGCTCGCTCGCTTGCTTCTTCCTTACGATAATAGTTCTTCAATATCTTCAATATTGTTGATCATGGCTACTGTGAAACGTCCGGATCCCTACCTGGGGAAAACAATCACGGCGTAAGTGACCCGAGTTTCCTTAATGGTATCTATCAATCCCCTCGCTCATCTATTCCTTCTATCACTCTGCTGGACAAGAGAAGGCTACCCTATCTTGGGCACCGTTACTAGCTGCGGCGCAGGAGTACCCTTTCTCTCTCTCTCAACACCAACACTTCGGTCCCGACAAGTTGTCGTACAGACCAGTGTATTCTTAACTTAAACCACACCTTTACATCTATACTTAGCTACTCTCCAGGACACCCTATTCAGAAACCGAGTTGCGTCGTTATCAGCTAACCCCCCGTGTCATAGTTTCGAAGGCGGAATAGTCACCCGCATAATCGACCACCCACACGACAGCAGCCGTGTCTTCGCCTACGAGGTGACATTTCGCCTCCGCCATCCCCGCGTCCTCGCAGTCGCGGCGCTGAAGCCGCCCCTGCACTTCCACCCGTACCAGGAAGAGTACATCGAGGTGCTAGAGGGGCGGCTGGCCGTCGAGATCGAGGGCGTCGAACACGTCCTCGCCCCGAAGGATGGCGAGCTGAAGGTTCGGCCGTGGTGCAATCATCGGCTTTACTCGCCTGTTACGGACCTCCTGGGAGAGGCCCATGCGGAATTCGATGATGGCTGGGATGGCGAGAAGACGGTTTTCTTGCTCTCCGGCGAGGACACGGATGAGATGTTCCGCCTTGACACTGTCTTCTTTGAGAATTGGTATGCGTACCAGGATCTGGTCGTCGTCAAGGGGGAGAAGATCGATTTGATACAGGTCATGAGCGTAAGTCCTTTCTTCTGATTCTTCCCCTCTTACTCTCGTGTACATGCTGCCTGGCCGGTGGCGAGCGCTTGTCTCTCATCAGCTACTGACTCTGTGCTCTCTAGATGTTCGACGCGGGCGGTTCATATCTGTCGCTGCCTAGCTGGATTCCTTTCGGCCGCACTATTGCACGCGGCATGGGTATCGTCGTCGGCCGCTGGATCGGTGGGTTACTGGGCTACCAGCCCTTCTTCCAGAAGTGGACAACGGATTGGGACTTGGCATGCGATAAGATGGACATGTCAATATTCCACAGACGCTTTGCTAATGGCGGGACAATGGCAAGTGGGATCAGGAGTAAGTACTCTAAGCTACTTTGATTTGATTTGAAGGTGTTACACAAGGATGGAATTTCGTAACAATATACCCAGAACTAGAGCGGACAGCTGTATATTAAACCTGACCTAGCGAAAAGCCTGTACATAATTAATCAGCTTAAATCCATGTTTTATTGTATTCTCACGATGATCACCATTTCCGACCAGTGTCCTGAGCGTATTCAATAAGGGCAATGACTCTGAAATCCTCCCTGAAGCGCGGTGTTTTCCCTTGTGATTCCGGCCCATTCGGCTGTTTTTACCCATATCTTCTGTTGCTTTATAGAGTTCAAACTCTCCTCCGAGCTGGGTCCAGGCATCATGAGGTTAAGATACCCACGCTCCCCAGCGTGCGTCCGGTTCAGCGCGATATCAGCGATATCAGCACCGGCATCGATCGATGGCCGCAGATTAGGCATTATAAGGCGGAGCATCGGCCATAACGGCTGAAGCACGAACCTCTGCGTATGCGACAATGTGGCGGGCGTGTTCGTGCGTAGGGCTCGTGAATCGGCAATGCTACCCGGGTCAATGGCGACCGCCGAGATCTTGTTGAACTGTTCATCCTGGACGAATCTGTTAGTAGAAAATCCCCCCCTATTGCAAAGTCTGTGTCACCTGAATGAGGACCTACTCTTTCAAGGTACCGGTTCAAAGCGTATGTCCACATAAGGATGGCGAGCTTGGAATTCGCATAGTTCTGGAACCCACGGCCTCGCTTATCCGTGTCGGGGTCAGCCCGGATCAGCCCGTCTAAGTCATCCGGTAAACCCGGCGGATATACCTCAAGACTGTTGCGTCCCGGGTAATGGCAGTCGCTCGTGAAAAGCACGAGCCGACCCCCTCGCGGCCCGAAACTACCTAGAAGCCGGAGAATGAGGGCCGCGTGTGAGACATGGTTCACCTGCATTGTCTTCTCACGCCCGTCCTCGGTGAGTTCTGGGGCAGCGATCATATTCCAGTGAAATGCGTTGCAGATAATGGCCGCGAGGGGTGGTAGTTTCTCCTGGGCGACCTCGGCGGCGATTGTTTCTGCGAATTTATGCACATCTTTCAAGTTGGCGAGATCGAGTCTCCGAATGACAACGTTTGATTTGGGGAATTGATTCACTGCCTCTCCGAGTCTTCTTGTGTTCGGATCCGTGGCTGAAATATTGCGGACCGTCAGGATTAGAGTGCTATCCGGCGCCTTGCTGAGCAGTTGCTGCACGGCGTGCACGGCTATGGAGCCGTTCGCACCGGTGATTATGATGGTGCCGGCCATCCCGCCTGGTTACGGAAACCGAGCGGCGGTGACGAAAGCGAAGGGGACAATCCTGAAGCCGAAAGTGGTGTGATCCTAGCCGATGTTTGAGGTTCAGGAGTCAAGGCACACAGACTGGCTAACGGCCGTAAGTTCGGAGACGTTCATGTCCCTCTCTTACATTGGGGCGCTGCTATGGCTATAGCTATGCGAAGACTTCGTGCGTTTTCTACAAGAAAGCAGAACGAGGATTGTCTCAGGCTATGTTTGCGTAGCAGCGCGCTTTAATACAAACTAAGAGTGGGCTCTATATGTCTGAATCAACAGACGTAACAACCCCTGTTATATTCCAACATTCTCATGGTCTGAGGCACATTCGAGGCATGTCGGACAACAGTAACATCAGATAGTCCCACGATACCGTTAACGAACATGCGTGTAACTTAGCTGAAAGACATTTGTAAGCACTTTGGTCTTAGTTCACGTTAGCTAAGACTTTCTAACCTATTCTTGGGCCGACTACTGTCCCTTGAAACACTTGATTGAGCATCATAAACGCGCAAAAGTCCATAGCTTCGAGGTAGGATTCCGACTTTCAAGCATCATGGGAGGTTCAGGAATCCTACCCGCGATGTCGGAATGCCTATAAACCTACCGACGCACCTAGACTTTCATAAGCATGCATTGAACTTGTGTTCGGTAGGCCGAGGTCGATGGCGAAGGGCACCTTGTGTTGAAACGCTGACAGAACAATATAAACCTTGGCGATTAACTGTTGGCGATGGTATATAGCCTGGCCAACAGGCAGGTCGGAACGCGGAAAGGAAGACATGAAGGAATGGAGGATTCACAGCAGGCTGCATCGTAAGCACTCAAACCGGCATGATAAATTTAGGCGACAAGTCATCATCCTTGTCCCATACCATCGTACATTGTAACGTCGTGGCTTAACATGATGAAAAGGGACTGTCAGGCGGCATTTGATCGTGAATACGGCTGTATACGGGTAGTGAAGGCATCGCGCGCCCGGTCACCGAAACGACCGCATTACTACCTACGAAAGTAGTCCTTGCTTGGGAAAAGGGCAAGGCATTTTTGGGGGGTGGAATACGGAAATTATGCTGGAGATTGGACACATCTAGGCTGGTCGCATACGATTTGTTGCTCGCATTATCCACCAGCCGGTGCGACCTAGAATCTTCAGCCTTATTTTGATTATACTTAGGGAAAAAGAGGAAAAACCCCATCGTAAGAACCGACTGATCTTGATGACTGTCACGTGTCCACTTCAGTGAGTCGCTGCAAGGGCCAACTGTTGATCCTGGGGCACATGCATACATAACAGGTACAACGTATTGCACGTGTGACAGTTGATCATGATGGCGCTTCTCTCTAAAATCTCAGGCTGAAGATAAGGGTAAAGTGCTTACTGGGTACTCTCCTATTCATAAAATCTGTGTGAGTAGCAAGTATTTCTCTCTTGGTGTCAAGGTGAAATGGAAATATCCAGAAACTGAAGAGGCCGCCTAACAAAAAAACAAATGAGTGTAGACGCATGATTGATCATACAGTAGTGAGCGATGATAGATGATGGTACCTCGCTAGCATTAGCTCATTATGACTATTCCGGAGCTGCAATTGGATTGAGTCAACGGTGATGCATGACACAAGACAAGGAGTAACCCGGTTCTCCAGAGAGTAAGACGGGAAAATGAGGTCTATCATACTAGGTACCGTAGATATGTGTAGATTTATAACTCTCTACTTAGAAGACCCATCACGGCATCGTGCCTGGTAGAAGATTGTCTGAATCGTAGTCAAAATTGGACAGAGAGCTGCTCGATCTTTGTCGGTGAACATGTACCGGTAAGAGTTTAGAATTCGGGATCTGAAGACAAAGGTCCCTGTGAAACAATAGATAGGTAGGTAACTATATCTACCAGCCTGCCTGCGTAATATACTCTTTCGTAGGTAGTATATTCTCCTACGTACAGAGCAATTGTCGCTTTGGCAAGGTATATATTATTTGGAAAGGTATTATTAAGGCACATATCTATTCTTTCTTCCCGTTGCTGTCGACGTCATGCTCTATACTGCCTATTGGTACCTAAAGTCACATGGAGTCAGCGTGTCTCTGCGTAGGGACACTGCCTACGTCATCTATAGATGCGAATCACCTCAGGTGCCTGCCGCGTGTCTCATCGAATGCCTCCTCATTCTCTACCACTGACGTATGTAGGCATCGTAGACTGTCAATGAACATATACCTAGGTACCTAGGTTTGGGATTTGTTTGGAGATACTGGGATACCTACCTAAGTACCTAGATGAAATATCAATGGATGTGTTTAGTGGTGGTTTGATTTAACTCTGGCGTAGAGACCTACGTTGCTAGTGGAGTGTCAGCGCTATTTCAATCGCCATAACACCGGTAGCATGATCTATATCAGGCTATAGCTATCTATAACATCGCCAACATTTTCCACATAGCTACCTGATGGAAATCATACGTATACACTTATATACACTTACTGCTTTACATTCCAGACAGCTGAAGGCTGGAATGCTCAAACATAATGTGAACTGTTAGCTGCAGGTGCCTCTCGCCCTAGGTATCTAACCTTCCCCTATTTACCCTACCTACAAGTACCTATGTAGGTACCTAACTATCAATGCTCTACAGGCTAAGTACCTGTTCTAGGTGTCTCTACCTAGGTACATAGTTAAGTACTTAGCGAGGTAGGCGTCGTCAGGTACAGGCAGGCTCCAGCTTCTGCTCTGAGCTCCTTCTATAAGGCATCCAGCACATAGGTAGCTATATGCTCATAATAAACCAAATCAACAAGACTCAAACCATTAGTTTGGGGGTTTAATAGAGAAAGGCACGGGGTTCATATTACTCTAAATATGAACTCATACATGCTCTTTTGTTAAGTATTTTATTTAGAGCTAGTGCTTCTACACAAGTACAGTATAGCTTGAACTCCCCCGCCCTACCAACCCTGTTCTGCCTAGGTACCTATCGCTAAAGAATTGGTGCAGAACTGGTGCAGAATAGTGGCTCGAAACAGTGATCCAGCGGCACCTGTTATAGGCGTCTGACCTACCCTAATCTCGTGCCTCAAGTACTTACCCAACTGTAAATGTAAGTACCTATGTAGGCAGGTAGGTACCTTCCTGGCCATCGCCGGCCGGCACCAAGACGAGCCAGCCTGATCTCGCTGTTTCAACTTCTGCCCCCATTTCAACCTCAACGCCCTCAAACACACACCAACGGCCACCTCCTTCATGCCTGGCCATCCATCCGACCCGACATCCGCCATCGCTACCTCCAAGCTCTGCATGTGCCATCGTCGTCTTCATCTCAAGTGAGAAATCCGAGCAACGTCTTGTCTTGTCTTTCTGGTCGCTTCGAATAGCATGGCGCGACCTCCGGCTCCTGCGCTCGATGTCATCGCAGCCCGCTCTTCGGCTGCTGGTGCCGGTCCCGACCCCGACACCTCTGCCGCGCCCGCCGCCGCTGCTGCCGCTGCTGAGGATCCCAACCAGAATCCCGACCAGCTCTCCGTCCCTGTCGTCGCCGCCGAGGAATCCAGAGACTCGAGATCCTCGTCCTCGACAAACTCCCCCGCCCCCGCCGACAACGAGGAGTCAGATTTCTTCCTCGCCAACAACGACTCCCAGTCCTCGCTCGGCGTCGTCCCCAACCTCCAGGACATGCAGGTGGCCGACCCGGAATGCCTCCCCACCGTTGCTGCTCTCCCCAGCGAGATTCTCATCAGTATCTTCTCGCGCATCAGCGAGCCCAAAGAACTCCTCAACTGTATGCTGACCTGCAAGAGGTGGGCACGCAATGTCGTTGAGATACTCTGGCATCGCCCCTCCTGCACCACCTGGGAAAAGCACTCTTCCATTTGCTCCACTCTCGGCCTCGAGCGGCCTTTTTTCACCTACACCGATTTCATCAAGCGGCTGAATCTTGCTGCCCTCGCCGATGGTGTGAATGATGGCAGCGTGCTGCCCCTGGCCGTATGCACCCGCGTCGAGCGTCTGACCTTAACCAACTGTCGCGGCTTGACCGATGGTGGCCTGGTCCCCCTCGTCCGCAGTAGCCAATACCTACTGGCCCTCGACATCTCGGGTGACAACAACATCACCGAGGCTTCCATCATCGCCATTGCCGAAAACTGTCGCAAGCTGCAGGGCCTGAACATATCAGGCTGCGGGCATGTTTCCAATGAAAGTCTAGTCCAATTGGCCGAGAATTGTCGGTTTATCAAACGGGTATGTTTGTATCCCATGCCCAGCCGTCCCCGCATCGTTTGTTGTAACACGGATGCGTGGAAAGAATATCACTAACTTCACGTGTGACAAATGCAGCTCAAATTAAATGATTGCAATCAACTGAACGACACGGCCGTGCTGGCTTTTGCCAATCACTGTCCCAATATCCTCGAAATAGATTTGCATCAATGTATTAATGTCGGCAATGAGCCTGTCACTGCCCTCCTCGCTAAGGCGCAGTCCTTGCGCGAACTGCGATTGGCAAACTGCGAACTCGTCGACGACGGTGCTTTCCTTTCGCTCCCGCCCTCGAAAACCTTTGAAAACCTACGCATTCTCGATCTCACCTCTTGCTCCCGTCTTACAGACCGGGCTGTTGAGAAAATCATCGAGGTCGCCCCGCGGTTACGAAATCTGGTTCTCGCCAAATGTAGTAACATCACCGATGTGGCCGTTCATGCCATTGCTGGTTTGCAGAAGAATTTGCATTATGTGCATCTGGGTCACTGCCGTCACATCACCGATGATGCTGTGAAGCGCTTGGTACGAAGCTGCAACCGCATACGATACATCGATTTGGGCTGCTGTACAAACTTGACAGACGAGTCTGTTACCCTCCTGGCTGGCTTGCCTAAGCTCAAGAGAATCGGGCTTGTGAAATGCGCCAACATTACCGATAAGAGCATGTACGCACTAGCAACAGCAAACGACCATCGCTCGCAGTACCGAAATGCAGGTCATCCAGGCCACGATGTTCGTGCCCCCAGCTTAGAACGTGTCCATCTAAGCTATTGTACCAACCTAACATTACCAGTAAGGACCCGTTTCCTAACTCCTGAAGACAAGTTTAAACTAACCACATCTGCAGAGCATCATTAAGCTCCTAAATTGCTGTCCCAAACTAACCCATTTGAGTCTGACTGGCGTGCCTGCATTCCTTCGTGATGATCTAGATAGATTCTGCCGTGAGGCTCCTTCAGGTATAGCCTCAGACCTTTTCCTTCATTCTACAACCAATGCTCACGTTTTTTTTTTATAGATTTTACAGAACATCAGCGAGCAGTGTTCTGTGTATTTTCGGGCAATGGCGTCGGTGGTCTACGACAACATCTCAATACCAGAGAGGAGTTTGCCGAGTACCGAGAGGGACGGGCCCCCCGACGACGAAACGGGGGCGTTACGGTAACGAATACAGGCCAGGCCCCAGCCCTAGATGTTGAAGGATTCGGTGCTGATGATGGCGATGGTCTCGAAGACGATGACATGGGTGATGGTAGTGACCTGATTGATTTCAACGCTGATCTAACCAACCTGGCCCATAATCCTCTACCACAGCCACAACTTCACGATGCCGGGCTACTACATCCCAACCAAACACCTGGTGCCGGCCTGGCAGCCTCGTCCGCGAGCAATGCTATACCAAACACAACAGCTAGTGTGAGCGAGACCCCTATCATCGCACAGGAAGCCGCTATAGCCATGGGAGGCCCTAGCATAGCAGTTGGCTCGCATGTCTCACATGGGCCAACTACATCTTCCATGCAAGCTCAGGATGGCAGCGAGTCTCAAACATCATAAGGCTGTTGAGGCTTAACCTGTTATTATTCTCTATAATTTCGCGCCATGTTGGCATCAATATCCGAAGCGATATAACCAAATAATGCTCAGCCACTGTGGATATTTCGTTACGCTATAGAAACGCTATAGAACCTACGCTATACGAACTTTCCAGCAGCGTTGCTATAACGAGCTTGATGGCTTATCGCTGCTGCTGCACTGAGGAATGCTCAATGGATTGGCAGAAAACCCAGAGGAGGCTCTCCAAGCTTCAGGAGCATCATCCCTATATGTTCCAGTTGCAGCCATCATTCGTGAAGTTCACCTATGTTGAATTCTTAGATATAGAGCCTTACACCTCGGTATAGTTGGTTTTACTAGCAACAAGGGCTCCACCGCAGCCAGAGATGCTCAGGCGGTCACATTGCGTGCGCATCTTGGGTATGGAATGAGCCTTCGCTATATTGTGCCTCGATGCGTGAATTCGGTGGTCGAGACGATGCAGGGATCGTCGGTGATGGACTGCAATCTCTCCTGATTAGAGAAGCTCTCCCTCCAAGGTGTGTTAGATATATCGGGGCGTTGCAGGGTGAACCAAGTCATAGTATATGTTTAGGAGCGGGGAGATGATACCATGGTGCATGATTCGCGTATGTTATTCAACAGACGTCTTGTGTGTTGCATCACAAGAAAAAAAGGGTTATTATCATGAACAGTATTAAATAGACTGTTCGGGGCATATGAATAATGACAATGAAGCCAGTAATTCGTTATGAATTCAACTTATGATTCATTCATCGGGCCATGCAATATTAATATGTTATTTGCAGTATTTATGGTGAATTCGTGGTGTAGCTGGTTTGTAATATATGAGAAGGATTTGGTTAAGATCCAGATAATGAGACCCAAAACAAACCGAACTTCTGAACAAGATCCCCTCCGTAGATACTCCATCCATCCATCCATCCATCCATCCATCCATCAAGTACCTACAGTAGGAATGGATTTCTACGATCTCCCCCCGTTCTTCACAACAGCTAATTTACTCCTCACAGGCACATTCTGCTTCTTCGATCCGTCGGCCTTAATCTCGGGGAACCCGGTGACCTGGACGTCCTTCCTGAAGAGCACGCAGTGCGTCGAACCGCCGAAGTGGAACATGCCTAGCTGGTCGCCCTTGGAAATGTGCTGGCCTTGGCGCACGGTGATTTCGCAGGTCGAGACCTCGTCCATGCCTACGCCTACGAAGGCTAGGAGGCCGATTGCTGGATTGTCTTGTTTTGAGCGGTGAATGTTAGTGAGGGAGATAAAGGGTGGAGGGGAGTGTGTGGGGGGTATGTGGGTGTATCGAGGAGTATTGGTGGTATATGGAGGTGTGTTTAACGGAAAAAGCAAAAGGAGATAGGGGAAAGAAGGAAAGAGGTGAATGACTAAGGGGGAACGGAAGGAAATAACTTACCTGCTTGGATGAAGATTACTGCGCGGGTGGCGAGGTTGGTAAGGTACGATTGGGATTGGCTTAGACCTGAGGCGTTGATCGAGTAGAGGGACGAGGCTGTGGTTTCAGGGGACGATTCAGAGGAGGTGTTGGTGTGTGTGAATAGGGGCTCGCTGAAGTATGTCCCGTCCTGGACGAAGGCGCGGACGATTTTGCCGCTTACGGGGGAGTGCCAGCGGCTTTTTTGGATTGGGGCGTTAGCGGTATATATATACGTAGAGAGAATGAGGAGTTAGATATGGGTTTGGGGATTGGATTTTTTGAGGTAAATAGATGTGAAAAGGAGGGAGAGAGATGCGCTTACTGATACGACAACGCGGATAAGAACGCTTGGTACACTGTCGCTTGGTCGAACTGGGCTGACAGCGGATCATGCGCGAGCATATCGAGAATCGAGTACGGCTGCCCTTTGACCCAGAACTGCGCCCGCAGCGATGAGTTACGGGCGAGATTGTACGGCGTCGACTCGCATGCGTTGGCGATCACGTTGTCGTCGTCTAGAGAGGCTACTGGGCGGACGCCTTCGCGGAATTGTCGGGTGAAGAAATCTATAGACATTAATACATATTTGAGGCAAATATAAGAATGAAAAAGAATGAAAAGGGCAGATATAAGGAAGGTTAGGTAGGTAGGTAGGTAGGTAGGTACTTACCGTCCCATGACTTATACCCGTGGTGCTTCGCCTTGGGATCGCAGATGAACAGCTCCTCGAAGGAATGGTTTGTCTGGAGAGGTGCGTTGGCGACTTCCATTAGATCCTTCCGCCCGTGGTCTGAGAACCAGCCTGTTGTCTCTGTTGAGAGAGCTACGGCGGATTCGGGGGTCTGGGAATGGTGTCAGTAGGGTTAGAGGGAGATGAGAATAGATGGAAAGGGATGTTGTGATGCTCAACTCACCTGGAGAAACTTGCCCCATTCGTTCAAGATCTTCTTTAACATCTTGTTGACGTCTGGGTCTAGAAAGGCCGCGTGGCCGCTGATATCTATGTTAGTATGAATATTCCAAGTCAACTTTCTTCCGCGTTCCCTTTTGAAGCTATTACCTTGGTGTGGACATTACATAGTCGAAAATTGAACACAGTGGCACGCCGACCATACCGACACCATAGGCTGTATCATTCCAGTGCGGAGCCTGTGTGAAGATGCGGTTGAGTAGAGCGAGCATTTGTTCATAAGATCTGATCTGCTTCTTTCCCGTCGGGTCTTGATAATACGGCTTTTTCATGGGCACCTCTTCCCACATCTGCTGGAAGTACATATAGATGCGCGTATTCCCTTCGATAAACTCTTTGAATTCCTGCACCGGCTTGCTCAATGGCTGCGGCGGGTTATTGTCTAGATGCTCAATGTGTTTCGCTAGCCAGTCGTGTTGGACACGATGGTCAGCGGGAAGCCATGCCCCCACGCTTTAGAATCGACGAAGTCTTGGGTTGGTCAATGTGTACTTCATAAGACTTATGATCCGATTTCGAAATGTCTTACCGATGCACTTTATGCTCATCGGGGATGTGAGCTTCGTCGCCATGTTGGTGTACCATTGTGATATTGATAGACTAGAAGAGGAGGTATGATATAAACACTCGCCAAGAGACTAAAGTGGTCAAAAATCAGCTACTTGAACTTGTTCCTGAATTTATAATGAAGCAACATCTTCCGAGGCGGGGCACGGGAGGAGCGGAAACTCATCATTGTAAGATGAGTTCAACATGTCGACAAGTGATGTCATTGTTGTCATTGTTACCTTTAGTCTGGAACTTACGCCAGCGAGGACCGAGGTTCTGTAGGTGGAGGAGAATGAAAACCACACAATCCTTCGAATAGCCCTGAAGTGCGCCTATATAATAAAATTTGATAATTCCTTAGATCGTTTATTTCTAGGAAGACGAGATATAATGCTAACGTCGGAGCGTGATATATACGTTCGATTCATCATCTCAGACGCCTTAGGCTTGCATGGATGCGAGAATCAGCGCCTGCGCTCATTACTATTAATAACCATGATTCTAGTTCGCTTCTAGATCCGAAAACCACGTAGTTCAGTCGTATTTATCACTTCATAACTAAACAAGGAAAACAGGGCGGGACATCAAAACCCAGAACGGGTGTCCAGCCAGGTACTATTCGGTTCCTCCCGGCGGACATTTCTTTCATGAGCTTCGTGACGGAACGGTGACGAAAGTGATCGGCGGGCTTACAATATGGGCTTCTCCCAGTCGACATTCTCGAGCCATTGTACGAAGTCGCTGTCGTTACCAAGGAAAGGCACGTCAATACCCCAGTTTGCCTCTCCTATCTGGAAGTCCAGCGGATCAGGCGGAGGCCACTCTTGGTGAGGTGCTGTTTCGCTCTGGAAGACGTTCAACTCCATGCCCTCGCTAGCGTGTGCTTCGGCCTGCTGCTCGTGCGGTATGTGCGACGCAAGAGGCCGCTCAATTGAGCTCGGAGGGCTCAGGATCTTGTCCAGAATGCGCGTGATGACCTTTCGACCCTGGTCGCACACGGTGAACTGGCCATCAGATGGATCGACATCCCCGAGCCTGGCCGCAAACACGGACAAGTCTTGAATCGTCCGACTTCTCGGCAGCAGTGGGTTCTTGGGGTAGTTGGGCATCTGCTCCTGTTTCAGCAACTCTACCGCAATAACAGAGGCGCTCCGCAGGCCCGAGACGGCAAGCAAAGCCGATATATTGCTTTGTAATAAAGACGCCAGGTCGTGGCGCTTGGTGACTCGCAAGATATCCTCGAAAATGGAGCTCGCCGCCTCGACAAGCTTGTCCCAGCTAGCGCCAGTCTTGCGGATTAAAACTCGTTGGAGAAGCAGCTCATTTGCGCGGAAGCCTTGCCTAAGCGTGATCTTCAACAAAGTCTCAAAGGGTCGCTTACTCGTTAGACCAATGTCATTGTACTCGTATGTGTCACTTGCCATACTCCGAATAAACAATGGTAAGTTCTCCCAGTAATCGTTGCTCTTTTTCTGTATTTCCTCAGCGCGACGGAAGATTTCTTCACGGCTATACCTCCCTAGAGATAGATCGAGGACTTCTTCTCGGATCGGGGCGAAGCCTACCCAGGCTTTCGCGAAGGTAGCCCGAGAGACCGTGTCACTCGTGCCAAATCCGTTCTCGTCCAATGCTGCGATAATGCGAGCGATCTCGTCTTCACTGGCAACTAGCTGGGTATCCGGTATATCCATAGGCGGAATGAGGTTGCAGTACCGATATGATAGTCGTGGCGGGCGACCAAGATAAGAGGATATGCTAATGTCGACGGAATACGCTCCAGCCACCAACCGCGTTCGCATCTGCTCGATGAAGAAAGGGATGTGTTGTTTCCCTTGCTTCACGTCTATGTGCAGACCCATGGCAACTATGGCATTCACATATTCGCCGGACTCGCGGTACAAGGCATAGCTTCCGGCCCCCTTGATCGACTCCGTCAAGGCCATGTTCTCTGTAAGTAGCCAGACAAATAGGTCGTCCAGCGCTTCGCAATCACGACAAAATTCGAGACATGCAGAAGAGATCTCACTCATCCGCCGTGCTAGAATTGGTTTCGACACATTGTGCTGCGTAAGCAGAAGATCTGACCGGCCTAGTGTCGTCGCGCATTGCCCGACGAGTGCGGCAATGATGCCAATCACCTCCCATCGGATGTTCATCCCAGTCGCCTGCATCGCCCAGGCCTTGTAGTCCATATCCTGCTTGACAACTATCGAGGTAAGTGTGTTGTGCCATAGTAATTCAGACAGGCGACGTAGTTTCTCGGGATTGCGCTTCTTGAGCGTATCCCCGTGATTCGCCCACAGTTTCAAGAGCCATTGCTTCATCACGGGTTCAATGCAGACATTAACGATACCGTCGCCGATGACAAAACTGCGGTTAACGAAATCGTGAATCAAGCTCGTGTCCTTTAAGAAAGAGAGTATCTGGGTGCCCCGAACAATCTGGTCATTGGAGATATGCAACCGCGGAAGCTTGGGGCCCTCCAACTCTGTCGACACGACTCCAAGTTTGCCGAGATTTTCTGAAAAGAAAGCCATGTAATTGGTAGTGCCGAAGAAACCTGGATTCACCCGTCCCTGATCGCTTCTACACTGATGCGACTGTAGAGGCGGTGCTGATGCCGCTCGGTTCAGCTTTGCTGGCGCGTGTAATGGAACCTCTTGGGACTCCAACTGAGATTCCTCGAAGATACGGTAGCCAAGGGAAGTAGGCGAGTGAGGTGAACTAGGCTCTGACGATTCAATGGTAGGCAAAGGTGCCGGAGAAAGGTCTTCATTGATCGTAGTAGCAGGAGTTGGAAGTGGCCTCTCTGTCGTCTGACGTTTCTATACAACCGGTGTTAACAAGTTGGGACATGAGATATGAGTAATTCTAATGCAACAGCAAATCGTGAATATGACCATTTTTTGAGATCTCATCCATTGGACCTGGTTCGATGTGTGGCTCTTCGTTCATGAAGACTTCAGAGGCTACTTACTTTAGTGAGCGGATTTGGATGGTACACACATTTATCCGTACATTTCCTCCTCACACACCGACTACATGTTGGGACTACATGATCACATCTGAGTTTGCTCTTCCTGTACACGTCAGTGTCAATGACGACGAGGTCCTATCAGGCCTACCGAAGACATCGTCATACCTGCAAGGCTCGCAGGATTGCAGTTTTCCATTGCGTCTATAAGTCCTATTGAGAGCCCGCTGCGATGGTTCGCTCCGCAAATCAACTATCTGCCCGCCGGTTTGAGGGCTCATAGTCGAAGGCTAGATGGGCAGAATTGGTCTGCTAAGGCCAATCAAGGACGTCGCGTTTTTGGCTGCCTAAGGCACGGCCGGGGTAGCCCGATGAGTCAGGTCGCTGAATTTGGGGATAGGCAGATGCGAAATACGACGGCATTCTTCCATTTTCGAGGAATTTAGTCGACGAAGGGTGTCGCGAGGTGACGCCTTTCTTGTAGCTTGTCGACCAACTCCGCTCTCAGTCGATGCTGCTAGGATGACAGGGGTTGCAAGTGGAGATACTGGTCTTGAATGCCGAACGTTCTCGAGCTGTGATTAGTGCAGAGCAAACGATCGGAGTTCGGTAAACTTCCACAAACGGGCAAGTCGGTGCGCTTCCAGGTAACAGTATTATATCTGCCCATGATCACGTAAGTGTCGACGCAAACCATGAGGATTCGGAGTTAGTCTAAGCAACACCAATGCAGGTCTACGAAAGATGACGCGTAAGGCGGTAGAGTTGAGTGATTAGTTGAATGAAGAGATGTCGCTGCGGCTTGAAATCATTGGTGAGCAATGTAGTTATATAGCTAACCGAGTTCGCACAGCCTGAGGCATTGGGACTTCCGTTCAGCATCAGCAACACTACAACAACACTTATATGAATACTATCTCACTTTACTCATATCTAACGATTTCAATCATCACTGTCCATAATCACTCAGACACCTAGATAGTCAAGGTCATTACACAATAGTCACGATGCCAGGACAATCATCGACTGCCTTCTCTTCTACATCAAAGACGTCCAACAAGCCAGTTACCGGCGAAACTCGGGATTCCTCTTCGACATACTCGTATGATCCGAAGAAGGATCGCACACAAGGGGAGAAGGCCAAGAATGATGAGATGAAGCGACTCATTGACAGTAAGTTTCCCCTTAGAATTCATGGCCAGCTTTGTACATTGAAACTGGATGGCTAATCAGATGAGGAATAGCTGCTTACAAGAACTCGATCAGGATGGGTCACTGATACCCCTCAAACGGCATTAGGCTATTGGCCATGTTGAAAGATATTTTGAGAGATAATCTCACGAGCTGGGCGGCGTTTTCAGAGTCGCCGAAGGCATGCAAGGATCGTTATATTTTAAGTCGCGCGTTGTTGCACAAATGATTGATGACCGGTAATGAAATCTTGGATTGGGGCGAACTTTGATTGTCGAGTTCTATGGTTAGGTACTCAAATCACATAATATTTTAACTTAGAAAGATACATTTCTGTGACGATACGCTACGATGATTTTTACTTGCTCTGATGAAGAAGCTATTTCGCTTTACTTCAATGAGGTGAACACAAAGAGGTGAGTGAGATGAGTCAGTAGAGGGCCCCCAATCCGCAGTCCAATTCGGTACAGCGTTTATCCTTAGTCGGCACACCCCCAAAGTTGACCGGCGTACTTGAAGTAAGAGTAGGTAAGGTCATCTACGGCTTGCAATATATAGTAGAGTCCGCTCAAGACACAGCTTGCATTCAATCTAGATACATACTCTTCCCTCCTATACACAGTGCGATAGCTGAACTGCTCAAGCGACCTTTTTTTTTTCCCTTGAAACTTGACACGCTTGAGCATTCTTGGCTACTTGATACTATTGTCAAGGTCTGGGCCTATGCGGCGCTAACCTGCCAATACCGACGCTATCGGGAGCAATTCTCCCGATAGACCGCCAAGTCTCGCACCGGGTTAATGCTGCTTTGAATGTTCAATGACTCGTGAGCGTACACGTGCGGGGCTTCAGCATGCAGTTCGGGGATACGGTCGTAATGTAGACAGGATGATGGTTAGTCGAAAATATAACCGGTTCTAAGATGGAAGGCGAGTGAATAGTCTAGTCACAGAAGTAGAGGCGCCGGACTCGTATACCAAGGTGAGTCATGATGCAACAGAGTGTTTAAGATGCAATACCATAGGAGTCACATCTGGCATACAAAACATATTGAATAATAGTTTGTTTGGAAACGAGGCGTCAATTAGCACCTATCTAAAAGAAAAGGGGTATTTTAATGAAATATAGACATCTAGAAAGCTAGCTAGATGAACAGCGGATTACAAGCTGCGAGGACCTTTTATGGAACTGTATCAAGTTTGGTATCTGTAGACTGCATTTTCTAGCATGTCTTTACATCTTCTCAGAAGACTTATCTGATTGAGCCTCCCTCTCCCTAATGGCGTGTGCGTCATTGTAGAGAGGCGTGAAGGTGGCGTTCTTCTGGAAGAGAACCCATCTCTTGAACCACCAAGGAGCAACTTCGGTAACTTGGTGGTTGATGAACTTGCTGGTGGGGACAGCGAACACATAGTCGAGCTCCTCAAGCGTACGCTGCTTGGTCTCAGGAACGAGGAAGAAGATCATGAAGAAAGCCAGAACGTTGAAGCCAGCGTACAAACCGAAGGCACCAACGGTTCCCAGACGGCCTAGGATGAAGGGGAAGGTAATACCCAAGACCGCAGCCCAGCCCAGGCAGGTGGCGACAGCGAAGCCCATACCAACTTCTCGGTGGGAGAGTGGGAAAACTTCAGCTGAGTAGGTGAAAGGAACAGGTCCTTCACCAGGAGAGTAGAACGCGGCGAACAGGAAGACGAACAAAGCCACTAGGCCAAGTCGTGCCGGGTTATGCATGGGGATCAAGGTCGACAAACCAGCAGCCAATAGCGTCCATGTCATCTGAGGGAAGGTGAATAGGAGCAGTGATCGACGGCCGAAGGTGTCGATGGTCCAGAAGGCAGGGAAGGCAAAAAGCCAATTGACAGCGCCAAAGCCAAACGAGGCAAGCAGAGCCTGGAATTGGCTGAAACCAGCTTCTTGGAACACGGTTGACGAATAGAAGGCAATGATGTTGATACCACACAGCTGCTGAGCAATCATGACGGTGAAGGCAGCGTATGTGGCGCGGCGAACACGAGGGATGGTGAATAGCTGGCCAAAACGAGTGAGGTAGTTGCTGCCACTCGTGAGCTCGGTCTCAATCACGAGCTGAGCGTGGATAGAGTACATATCACGGGCAACTTGGATAGGATGATGGCGCAGAAGGTTGAGGGATGTCCAGGCCTGAGGGTAGCGGTTCTTCTTCATCAACCATCTAGGACTTTCAGGGCAGAAGAAGATGAGGAGAAGGAGGGGAACGGCGGGGATGAAAGGAGCGCCCAGCATCAGACGCCAGTTGTTAGGGCCAACGTTGTAGACAGCAAGGTTGATAGCTGTGCCGAGGAAGATACCGAAGGCAGTCCACATCTGCCAGGACATGACTAGAGCACCTCGAACGGCGGCCGGGGCGTTCTCAGCAGCAAAGATAGGGACTAGAATATGGTCAGTGAAGTTGGAGGACATGTTGGAAAGAGCAATACGAACCAGTCGCGGCCTTGAGACCCATACCGATACCCATGAGAAGACGGTTGGAGATCTGCTGAGCGTAGGTGTGGGAGAAAGCAGAACCGATGACAGGCCAGATACAGAAGTTCGCAGATAGGAAGATGGTGCCTCGGCGGCCAATCCAGTTGTTGAAGGGGTCGGAGAGCCAGCAGCCGATAGTGGCGCAGCCAATGTAAGGTCCAGCGTTGATGAGACCAACCAACTAATTGAGATATTAGTATACATGATACGTGAATAAGGTTGATAGTTGGTAGGCTTACAATCTCATCTCGTACACTCTTTGAATCAATTCCATAGTAGGCAGGGAAGAACAGTGTGGCACCGTTCGATCCAGTCTGGTCCCAACCTTGGACAGCTGCTCCGATAGAGCAGGTCATGATAGTCAGGTAAAGCTTCCAGGGCAATCGCCACTTGTGTAATGATTCAAATCGGAGGGCTTCTTTCTCTTCCTCATTCAAAGCATCTGGGCCGCTGATATCTTCAAAATCCTTCGGGTTTTGAGCAACTAAAGCACCCTTTCGAAAAATCTCAACGTGCTCCTCAAGGCCCTTCTCTTGCACGAAGGCCTCTACATCGCGCATAAGTTGCTCGTACGGGATGCCAGCCAAGGGGTTGATAATCCTATTGGCAAGTGGTGTTAGACCCAGTTCATGCTAAGGGTAGCAGGTATGAAGCGGAGGTGTCATGATAGCATAGATGTGTTGACTGCTGGTTAAAGATAACTTACTTAGCTTGCAGGTTGGACTTGAGGTCGACATGTTCGGTAACATCGAGCCCATGCTCCAGCTTCTCGTTAGGGACGCCCTTGGGCTCAATGCTACAGGTAGAGTCAGCCATTATGTTTCACTTTGCTTGATACAGAGAGACGTCATCTTAAGAACTTACCTGTCCTTCTCAATGTCGGACATCTTGGCGCTTGTGATGACTGCAGAAATAAGTAGAAGCGCTTTTGCAAACTCAAGATAGGACTCAAGACTGCACACTCGACGAAGCTAGCAAGGAGACAAACACAAGAAAAGGACCACAACGGGTTGCGCGGACCAGCCAGTCTTATATGATGGCCTTCGACAGTCCCCCAGCAACAAAGACGAAGATCCCCACCCTCTACTCGCAATAAGCAAGCCACCCCAGACCCCAACTTATCGCCCATCCCCATCCCATTCACCTCCAGAATCCACAGAGCCCACAATTCCTTCACCAGCATCTTGCAACTTTGAATGTTAGTTGGTGCCGCTAATCCCGCCAAGGTCCGGCCTGCATTCGTGTGTGGTGCAACACCAGGTACATTAAAAGCGTCGAGACTTCGGTTACTCGCTGGAGGCAATTACACTAGTGTAAATAACTCTACTGGGCCACTGATTTGGAGGCGAGATTCCGGTCATAGTAGTTCCAGATCGTGTGACCTTTGTTTGCTAGCTTCCCATCTCTGATCTGACCCGAACGATGGGATCGAAACACGGAGAAGGGAACAAATCATGATGTGCGTATATTGAAGCATACGCCTATGTAGATTTGATTATCGGGTTGCCTAGTTTCGCCCGCCGCTCGTACCAACTTACTTACCGAGGCAACTAGAAGTCTACCTAGGTATATAGTATATTGGTGCTGTACGGCTTGTTGGCAAACTAGCTAAAGGTTGGAGAGAAATGTCTTCATGAGCTAACGATCAAGTGGTTTTGCGGCTCTGTCCGCAAGAAATTCTCTTACTACGTCCTATCTTATTCTTCTACCTACTTTAGCCGCCTTTACGCTAGTGTGCCTTTCCACGGCTTTCCCCTGTCGTCAATGGCATTGAGAAGCCGCCGAGCTCTCCATCGTCTTCGGCACTGCATGGGCGGCTGAAAATTTGCGCCTCCCGTGCTGTATGTCAGCCATGGAAAGCCTTGGTTATCCGCGGCTGTTAGCTCGTATTCTCGGCCGTACGAGCCTCTCGCTACGCTGTGGAAAGGCGCACGTGATGGGTACAATCACCATTGTGGCAGCCCTGTGCCAGCATCGATGGCAAGGGATATGACGACAGTTGCGGGGAGTAAATACCTCGCTGAAAGATAGGAATTTACATCCTTCCAGAGTCCACGCGACCTGGAGAGATGGAAACTAAGAATTTTTGCCCTTCCCTTATCCTCGGCTACGCCGTGTCCCCAGGTCTTGGCCAAGTTGGCCTAGGAATTCCATTTCTGCACTCCCGGTAAATACAACCACTAGTGTCTAGCGTGCTGGCGTCGCCTTTGGCGCTGATCACAGTCGAGGGCCCGCCAAGCTGGAAATCCAACGACCGCCAAGTCAACGGCGTTCCATTATCACGTTAAGGCTTCAGTTGCAGTCTACACCCTCCCCATTCATTGCTGATCTGGTGGTTCTACTACCAATGTATCCAGAAAGACCAGCGCATAGGAATGCACAAACTAGTCTGCCCAGCCTGCCCAGCTCGCCTCCACACAGCGCGCGCGGGTTTCGGCGCTCTCTATCGAGGAAGGGGATTAGTAGCGTATCACATGACTCCGCTTTTTACAAGCCTTCATGCAAGACGACTGGACGATCTCTTCACAGTGCTTCATTAGAAACATCCTTCGTCGTCTCCACCTACCTAAGTACAGGGAGGCGCCCATTGCGTGAAGCGGTGAAATCTCGCGGTGGCAGGTTACATTCCAGATAGTATGTTGCTGTAATGGACTGCTGGATGCCTACGAAGTTTGTGTGGTCATTGCACCACGTTGTGTTCGTTCTACAGTCTTAGAGGTACATCTTATCGTTCTCGTCCCTGCAACCCCCGTTTGGTTTTGTTCACGCAGCCAATGAGCGACGGAAGTGCTGTCGGAAGACGATGCCATACTTCCCACCATCCTCACACATACAGCAGTTGTCCTGTACAGCTACACCACTTCAGGAATCTCATAAAGGAGTCGAGCATACAGACATTCGAGAAGGATTCTATCCGTGTCTATACCAGATCACATCCCTCTTGACGCCCATACTTAGTCGGCTCTTGTAATATTCGCTGCTCTTTTATCCGAGGGCCCAAACAGCAAAATAAAACTCCACTGACTAGCAATCTTTGACTATGAGCACCATGCCAAGACTGGATATTGATGCCGGTATTCCACTCGGTAGTGGCTGGATGAAGTATAGCGCAGTGCATGTAATCTGAGCCGACCCTAACTCGCTAACCCCATGGGTAAGCCACATGTCGTCAGCGACGCCCAGGTTTTGTGAGGGGGGTGTGCTAGGGTTCCCCTTATTGTTCCCCTCACAATCAGGTTTCCCCATGCGGAGACGACGACACTACTGAGTAGTATGCTCTACCCAGTAACAATAGTTGGGGTTCTCTAGTTTCCCCCCTTAGTCGATTTCAAATACCAACTAACTGTACTCTTGACATTCTAAGTAAACGACGTTAGTTAGCATATGGACGGCACAGTGTCGAGAAGTGTCTCTATCCCACAGTTCTAATAAGTATGCCCATTTTACCCCGGCGGTTAGATTTTGGAGCTGCCGCGTGGTTCTACACTAACCTCTTCTTCCACTAGGTACCGTCTTTCATGCTTCTCAGCGCTAAATGATGACCTACTGCACGCTAGGAGCATAGATTGTACGACAATAGCTAGTCTGGTCACGTTATCTGGGGGATTTCAGGCTTTTTCTATTCCTTCAAATGAACATCCGAGTATGCCTGACAGTTGCCGAATAGTGTATGAATAGCCAAATGAGTATATCTTACTACACAATGTGGGAACGCTATCTTCTGTAATATTCAGACTCCTTACCTAGTCAGTGGAACATTCGATCAATCATCAGACAAGCTTGTACCGTGTCCATACGATCGATGATGAGTAAAGGGCATAGTGCCTCTGTCTGTGTATAATGTTATCCACTATGATGGCTTGGCCTCTGCTTGGCGATTGCTACCATCTGTTCGTGGCGAGACCACTATCTTTTGCCAAACGGAACTCGCCATCTACGAAGTAAGCAGCACATCTAACATAGTCTAGGTATCTCATGCCAATAAGGCTGGACTCATCTCAGTGTTCCTTTACTCCTGCCTCACCTGTGAGGCGCCCTTTCAGATTGATGATTTGATCTGATAGACATTCAAGGTCAATATTATAAAATATGCCAATACCAGCAATCAGCAGTAGTTTTATGTTAGTTACTATAAGACAGATAAATACAAATAACTGGCAAGCCGTAGCCCATACTCTGCCCATACCCACCCCCTCCTGGGAGACTCATAGTGGTACGAGATCGACTCTGCCATGCGAGCTCACATATTAGTCTAGCGCTATGGTGTACAGATGACACATTCTAGACACACTAAGAATCAACTACAAAGACATCTCACTACTGATCGTCGTACGGATAGCCACATGGCGTTCAGCACTAGATATAGTAGAGGATAATCGCTCTAGATGGGTATTGGTGTGTCAGAGCGTGTGTACAGTAGGCGTTTGGATCGAGCCTCGCGAGCTATGATATTGCCATTTCCTAAGATCTGCTTTAGTTTATGTGTTCCCTTCTACAATGAGTTTAGCTGCTCATCTCTGTCCATTCAATCATCATTGTAATCCTAGGCAGAAGCCCAGGTTACCGATCCTATGCATACACACTGCATGTATTATGTAGTGTACAGTTACATTAGCATATACACTGCACAGTATATGTAGACCAAGACCATTAGTCTTGTGCAAACTGTTTGCGAGAATTTTTCTCGGGACCGGGGCGACTACAGTAGCTTCCGGTCTAAGCACCACCCAGCTAGTTGGGCTCGACCACAGTAGAAGGTCTAATGGTTCGAGAAGCATGTGTGTTGGAATAGGTGTTCCTAGATGTGATCAACAGAGGGCATATGAGGGGAGACAATAACTTTAGAAGCCTGTTGTCTTCTATTAATAACTGTATACCACTGTGCAGATCAAAAATATACAAAATATACCTAGCAGTTAGTCCCAACGATTCTAGCTCTCAGAATCTGTCGATCAAGTGAGGCACTCAATAAGCATTCCGGGCCGTACGATTGAGGATATACCGCCTCAGACAGCTATTGCCAGTCTAGTCCAGCGCAAAACGTACGATTACTGCGTGGAAACATGCTACTACAGCAACAGCTCTTTGACGTTTCTTCCTAAACTCACGATAAATGACGGGCCGATTCCAATACAGCACGCATGAAAAGGCGAACAAAATTTTACGATACCTAGTTTCTTCCAGCTAGAGCACCTTTGAAACACCAGAGATATTGCTCGCATATACTACTCTCTAAGTATTGCCATGAGTCCGTTCACACTATACGTAAAACAACCTAAACAAGTGGTCGAGCTATCGCAACACTATCAGCTCTGCCGTTACCCTTAAAGCAGAAGATGTTATTAAGCTGTTAGCCCGGGTTGGATGTACCCTCCAAAACCCCTCGACATCTTATAGACAGACACTATTAGGGATTAGGGGCATTTTATCAAAAGTCGGCAGATGCAGCGGTTGCTCGGACCAAACGGCACCACCCTGAAAGTCCTCGAACTCTTAACGAACACCTATTCTTATCCAAGCCAAGACCGTGTCCGCGATTTTTCTCATAAGAGACTCAAAAATGTACGCCAGTAAGAAGCTTTTCCTTTTAAGACAACCGCATGAACTTAATCTCGCGATCCTGGGGCTAGCAACCAAGGGACTCTTGTGTGTAGCTCCAGCTTAGGCATGAAGGCTTGATCCACGTTCGTGCAACAATTATCGTACAGTACTACTACGGTTGTAGACCTCAAATTGACAAAGTCCAAATACGTAAAATATGCCGTAGAGAACACTATCGGCAATTTTCACGCGATATAATTACCCTATTAAGACGACTATGGTAACATGCAAGGCCAAGAAAGACGCTGAGCTCAAACATGAGGGTTGCAACCGATACCATCCAAATCTAGAGAATCGCACCTCGACCCAACGATAAATACCCCGTTCAAAGTGTGCATCGTTACCACTTGGGCCTGAGGCAACCAAAAATCGTTGGACAGTTGGAGAGCGGCCAGTACTCTACTACTATCCTTCGGCGTAACAGAGGAACTTCAGTACAACACGCCAACCCGGGAAATTGTGAACCGACGAAGGTAATAGTAAGAATTGTGTAACTATTAAGTAATTGTTAAATTAACATATCCTAATAGACTCTTCTGATCGACTATATTAGCAACCCTTTCAATTTAAATTTAGTCGTGTCCAGGGTCTTTAATAGTGCAAGTAATAAGATATTAATGGGCCTTGGACATGTTGGGAAACTGAGCGCGAGAATGCGCAGACAGTACCGTACGTATGAAGGACGAGCAGATGTTTTAGTTGTTCGGTCGTCCTGTTCGATGTTCTGGGGAAGTGAAATGCCATCAGCTGTCACTGAAAGACGGTCCGAGGATGAGGAGTGGTGACCAAGCGACCCGTTGCGCCCCGTCGTGGAACTGGTCGTCCTGACGACAGTGACGCCTTACCAGCATCCTCATTGCACTACGTCTCACAGATTGAGAGGTCTGGAACTATGGGGTTTTTATTATCATTGTTGTTGCATGAAGACTTCAAAGTTTTCATGCCTAGGCTACGGCTATATCCAGCGAGTCACTCTGTCTGCAGCCTTGAATTCACGACATTGATCCCTCCAAGAACTGTGTGGATGAAGAGTTGTAGGATCCAGGTTTTGCATGTAAGTATCAAAAGCTGATCTCTGAAAACTGACAGAAGTTCAATCAATTCGTGTAATACGACAGTTCCGTAGGTCGGTATTATTTAGTAGCTTTATGAGACACCACTCGATGAAAAGAAGAATCTCGCCCTGTTATTTGAGTATCTCATCTGTGACATACTCTTGCAGGAAATGATCGCTGTGAGAGACATTCGCATTACATAAATCCCGACATCGCATTTATTATATATGGTATACTATGGTTGGCTTGTCCGACTTCAAAACCGGGTTCCAGCGCCCGTGACTGTGTAGCGACCCCGCATGTCCGAGTTTCATGTCAATTAATTGTGTTCGAATCGAGCCAACCAAAAGACCAGATGCGACGCTCTGTAAAGCTCCTGAAAGCTCACTTTCGGCTGCTGACATATACGAACCGAAATGTGCATGCGTATGCGTGTCGTCATAGGAGGTCATGCGGGTCGCAAGAGTTTGAAACATCATTCATTTTCGTTTTTACGAAATAACTACCGCAGATAAATCTTGCATTGGAAGCTATGGCGGTCTGAAATTGGTTGTCGTATGAGACGACTATCTCACGCCTCGAAACGACCGCGACAATGAAGCTATTACTGTACTGGTCGGTGTTATCGCTATGGTTGGGTGCTCACGGTCTGCCTGGATGGCCTCAGGGCGGAACAATTGTGGTGGGAAGTGCTGTGCAATTCGATCGTGACTCCTGGGAAGCAAACCTCGCTCATCCGAATGCCACGGGGAACAATTCAATCGCCGGATTCGACCTCTCGAGACCGTGGCCGAGCACACAAGTTGATGGCTGGCACTTGGCAATCAATGTCACAAGCGACATGTAAGGAGCCACTTCGTTTTGAAAGAATGAGCACGACAAAGGCAGCCGAGAGGATGCTCGGAGACATATAGCTTATCGTCATATTAACATCACTCGTCTCCATAGTCCAGACTCTCAAACGATGAACCCATCCAACGCGACAGGGAGAACATTCACCGGAACTAGCATCTTCCTGCAAGCGCCCGAGAACTTGCGAACTGCATTTTCCAACCAAACCGCGATCGACGAAACGACGTGGAAGATATGCGTCGTCGTGATCCCGAATGCGCCCCAGGAGAATGTGACCGTGGCAGACGACGGGACCTGCACCATCTTATCGTCGCAATGCGTCGCCGACCTTCAGCAGGGCTACGTAGATAAGTTCTCGCGTAACCAAGACTGCTACGGGACGCCACCGCCTACGCCATCGAGCTGCGGCGACGCGATCAACACGGGGAACTTCAACGTCCAGCGTTCGTGAAAATAACTGCACATCCCATTCCCCTTACCCATTTATTTATTTCATTCATCCATCTAAGATGAGCCCAAGTTCCCCGTCTTCACTAACAACTTCCCCGTCTCGTAGAATTACCCCTCGCTTCGATCGGCGGGAAAGAGATCTTCGTGACCGCCTCGGAATCACACGACCTCGGCGACGATGCGGCGGCATGGGACGATGCCGTGACGAAGAGCTGGCCCGTCCTGACAATCTGGGGATGGAATGCGCGCGCCAATGCGTCTGACGATGCGTCGCCTACCGTGCGACTGTCGTGCATTAGCGCCAGGGATGTCCAGCCCGGGAGCAGGGTGCCGGGGATGCCGTCTTCGATTGGAGCGAGAGCTTGCGGTTCGGCCGCGGCTGCGCTTGTCATTGCTTGTATCGCGGCGTATGCTTTGTTATGAGAGATTTGGGGTTGAATTATCGTACCTTTGGGGGGAGACAGCGAAGTAGGTCTTGAGATGTTCCTGATGAAGAACGTTCGGTGGATAGCCTGCGAACTTGTGTTGTCGACTTCGGCATATGAGGCGGACTTGAGCTCTGAGACAGGGACAAGGGTATAACTGCGAATCGGGGACATTTCTAAAAACCATGTTCAGATTAACGTAATTTGGTAATCGTAAAAGTTCAAAAGAACAATAGGGATCTTCAAGAGCTTAAACGTGATGAATAGGTAGCTTCGCGTCAGCTTGAACGGGCTTAATGTCAAGTAGCAGGTATGTTGGCGGCTAGGAAGAGTCTTTCTCCTCCAGCTTACAATCGATTTGAAGACAGTTTCGATCAAATTCAATTATGATTTTGACACCGATAAATCTGACCTTGTACATCCTGTCTTGGGTGAATTCCTTAGGATTTAGCTTCGCCCTCCGCCCCCAAACGACGCACCTGTACAGACACTCAGCTTGACGTCGCAGGCTGTAATCTAACTTAGATGCTTACCAATTGAAGCAGTCTAAACACTAATCGTATCCAAGCGACTACGCGCGGAAAGATAAATATGAAAGATAAGGGCTACATCACATCTTACTCTCTTCCACTCAACCCATTCATTTCACCTAGTGTTCTTAACTTGCATTTGCGAAGGTTTCACAGCTTCGCGATATGTCGGGGAGTAGTAGTCTGGAAGCAGTCGACCTGGTTAAGTAATAGCTTGTCCTTGTCTGTGATCTTCCACGCAGTCTCGATATCCTGCTCGAGCCTTCGTAGCGATGGTAGATGTCGGTATTCGTACATTGCTTTGACTCTCTTCCGCACAAGGTCGCGTAGTTCACTATCTGTCGTCTCGCAAGCTGCTATCCACAACGGCCACGGCTGAGCCGCGACGAGCGGGGAAGAAACGTCGACCTGGCAGAGATGGCGGAGGCATGTTTTCGCGCGGATAGTATTTGTCGGGTGTGGAGAGGGCAGTTCATGCCATACTTGATACAAGTAGATAAAGGCGGCTTCTGTGTAGGCGTGTATGGTATGGCCCTCATCTTCTTCACAGATGGTAAGTCTATCGATAGCCCAAAGGGTACACTCTATGTCTTCTCCCTTGCCGTATAGGAGATACCCGCCTAGACGGGACATACTGCTGATCCGGCCGACAGTCTCCCACAGAACTCTAAGTGCCCGTATGGGTTTCATCTGCTCCCGGTAAGGGGCATCAGGACCTAGACTCATGACTGGAGGAGTCCTATCGAAAGCAGATACCATGGAGTCGTGGTAACTGCAACAGCCCAGAAGAAATCTGCTGGCGTCACTGTCCCAGAAGTTCGGCCCGGCTCGCTCCACGATGCCTTTGGCACCTCCAAGGTGGATAGCTCCGGGGCTGGGCGAGAAGAGCCGGTCTGTGATATGCAATATCATGTTGATGGCAAGAGAAACAGAGGGCCTCGCTACGTCCCCCGTGTCAACGATTTGACGGAATAAGGAGATAGCTTTGATCTGATGCTGGGTGGCTATAGTCAGCAGAGAAGGGTCATCCTTCAAGACGCTAAGGTGGAATGCAGCCATGCTGCATATTGATGAGCGGAGCGACAATGAGTCGGGGATCATGGGAGTAATGTAAGCATTGAACGGATTCTGCGCGCTCGGGGCAAGGGTAATGAGTGAGGCCAAGTTGGTTTTCCAGTGGTGTAGCAGATATGCCTCTTGAAGTGGGATGCCGCTGCTCATGGCCCGCGGCGAGACTGAGGAAGCTGGGTGCCGCTGCGACTGTCGTCTCGCCAGAGCCTTTGATGCATATTTTTGTCGACGTGTTTGGGATAGTTCTTTCGAATCCTGGGCAATCTGTTCTGGAGTCATCGGGGCTTTCCATATAGGTCTGACGCCGTATTCACAATGTTTGCCTAACCGTACGCATCGGCCGCAGAAAGGTTTCTGCTCTTCACACTTATGCCCGTCGTCCCTACATGTCCAACAACCTGTTTTTGTTCGGGTGAACCGCTTTGGCGGAGGTGTATGAGTATGCATCTGCGATGGATATGTCGAATTCTACCAATTTAATGTGCAGGGCTAGCTCCTCAAATGCCGGTGGACTTGCACAGGCGCGGGCTACGGTAGGATGGTTAAGTTTGGCAAGTGAAAAGCTCCAAGAGAAACGTCCATGATATAAATAGCCCCAGCTTCCTAGATATCAAACAGAACTTGATTACGAATTACCAGTGAACGAGGCTCAACAAGCTACATTCTAAGGTAGTGAGTGACCATGCTGTGATTATGTTACGACTGCGACTCTGCGTTATGGGGTCAGAGCAGATTGCCACTCTAAAGTTTCAATCGAGGCTCCCACTACGACGTTTAATAGGCCGTTTATGAGGCTAGATCGTAGTGATGCGATGTTTGGCATGAACTTCACGAAGCGGGGTTAATCAAAGGGGCCAAACTCATAGCACGAACCGTGGTATTGTTTCTATTCCTGACGACAAAACACTGTAGAGTTCGAGTTGTGCATCACCTGGAAGATCAACTCCTGTCATCCATGTCGAGAGATGCTTATCAACGCGGCGCCGGATGCCATGGTGTGAAGCCAGAGTTGAGACGAAACTGCTGTGACCAATAGGACATGCGCGTGGACAAATTAATTAGAAAATAAGTAAGAAATGTGTCAGCACTGGGAATCCTTCAAAAAGTGAGGCTCAATTCGGCAATTGGGCAAGTTGGAAGGCATCTGTAGTGTTACTGTAACTCTCAGGCAATGATGAAATCTATTATGATCCCTCTGTGTCAGGTTGCTGACATAGGTACTGTACACTATGTATATATAGGTAGTCACAGTGCTGGGGCTCTAGGCCAATCTTCCCATCTACAACCTCAATACAATCACAATGGCAATGGCCATACCTTGACACATACCAACGTGATTCATTGGTCGGTCGAATCATCGGCCGACTGAAATCTATCTCCGACGGCAATCGTCGGAACAGTCCAGATGTACTAAAAAATACCATGTAGTTAGTCTAAGTTAAGAGACTAAGATGGTCTCTAAGATACAGTTTGACCATCGGAAAGCGGCTGTGGCCGGCCTTCCCCAGATATTTCTTCATCTGTCCAAGGTGAGAATGAATACCACATGCCATTGATGAACATAGATGGACATTGATGAACGGTCTCGGCCAGCGAATGAATGCCGCTAATCTACACTAAGGTATTGTAGTTGGAGATGCCCGATCCACCATAAAGACATAAGTAAATGCAAAAGAATCGTTCCATTATCTATCTGTTCACCAGGGTTTTGCCTATCTGAATAGACAGACGTATCTACAACTATAAAAGTATACCCTATTTTCCATCGGTATACCTTAATCAAACTCTTCTCTCCAAAAGTAAAGACCTGCTTCATTTCGCAAATTCATAAGGACCTTGGCAAGCACTGCCAATGCAAATGTAAACCTGAACTGTGTTGTTGACTGATTTGCCACTCATAAAGAGTATTCCGAGGGCCATTTACTTTGCTCTCCCCTCCACGCTCAAAGCCACGCTCTTGGAGCCCCGCCTCGAGAAAAACCACAATCTGCCCCTCCAACAGCAAAAAGGGAAACGACACCAGGGAAACACACAACACACAAAACCAAAATGAGTCTGCTAGAGGAGCCCGCAATGGACCTCCCAGTCATCGACCTGGACATCTTCCTCTCGTCGCCCGACTCGGCCGCCGCGCAAGAGGAGTGCGCGAAAGCGGCCCGCGCCCTCATCTCCTACGGCGCGCTCGTGCTGCACGACAGCCGCGTGGCCGAGCCCGACAACGTCGCCTTCCTCGATCTCCTGGAAGACTACTTCGCGCAGCCCGAGGACGTGCTGCGCGGCGACGAGCGGCCTGCGCTCGGATACCAGGTCGGCGTCACGCTCGAGAACACCGAGAAGCCCAAGTGCGCTGTCGACGAGCCCTGTCTCGACGTCATTCGTCGCCTTGCGCCTGAGGAGCGGCCGCTTGATATCAGTGGGCATGCGCCGGATCCGAGTACGTGGTTCTCACTCATCTTAAAAGAAGGGGGTTTTTTGTTGTTGTGAATACCAGTAGTTAGAGGAAACTGATGATGTATAGAATGCCGCTTCTTCTGGCGCATGGGAGAGCCCGCGCCGTACAAGACGCAATTCCCGGGCTTGAACGCCGAGAACATTGTCCCTGCTGCCGAGGGCATCCGCGAGCGCTGGACGCCTGTCATGACGCAGTGGGGTGAGAGCATGAAGAGCGCGTAAGTGTACTTGGATGAAACTGCGCGATCACACAGAGTACAAGATAAGACAAGTGCAACTAACTGCTTCCTTTCTTTTTTTATAAAACAGTGTTTCCGGACTCGCGCAAATGGCGGCTGTGGGCATGGGTTTGCCTGCCGAGACATTCAGCGATGCAGCAAGATATGGGTGAGTTGAGCTCCGGCATCTTCGTCATGTCTTACCCACGCAACATCGGTTACCTTTGTAATTCGCCAGCAACATTTTCTCATCCTCACCTTCACCATCATTCTATTTATATTTCTACACTTCTCATCAAGTTCCCTCACTTACTTACTTACTTTCTTAACTAACACCACCCCCCAAACAGCCCCCACCTCCTCGCCCCCACAGCCTCAGACCTGCACAAATACGGGCAGAAAGACACCATCCTCGCAGGCTTCCACACGGACCTGAACTTCCTCACGATCCACGGCCGCAGCCGGTATCCAGGCCTGCACATCTGGGCGCGCAACACAGGCCGTCGGATCCCCGTGAAGATCCCCGCGGGCAACCATCTCCTCGTGCAAGCGGGCAAACAGCTCGAGCACGTCACGGGGGGACTGGTAAAAGCTGGTTTCCACGAGGTTGTGGTCAACGACGCTACGATCGCGACGATCAATAAGAGGAAAGAGGAATTCCCGGATAGACCGCTCGTCAGGATTAGTAGTACCTTTTTTTACCATCTTGCGAGCGATTTCGATTTGGTTCCTATCCCGCAACTCGTCGAGCGCGCGAGGATTGTAAGAGAGGAGCAGAGTAAGCTTGGGCGTGATGAGGGTGATGTTGTGGAGTATAGGGGGATGAAAGTTGGGGAGCAGGTTCAAGAGTACGTCATCCTTTACCCAATTATTGTTTTTTTTTAAAGGTTTATTTTCTTTTCTCCCTTCTACTCCCCCCTCCCTGCCTCCCTTTCATGTCGTTCTTAGTTGTTCCCTTATGGTATGCGAAGATACTAACTATACTCGCAGTGAATTAAAGCATATCGCGTTAATGGCATGAGTATCACCGCACGTCCGTCAAACCTCATAAGGCAAGGCGAGGCGACGTCAATCAGAAGACAATTCTACAAAGTGGACTATGGAAGAACTTGTCTGTCGTGGCAGCTGAGCTGCGAGGTAACTAAATTCGTTGAACTTAGATATATATATATAACTTCCGATGTTGGCCCATCTACTCTGTTAAAGATAGATATATCATATATGTCTAGCGTCATGGGAAGGGGGGAATCACAGATCAGTAGTTCCGAAACTGTATAATGCAGGCAGTGCAATGTTCTTCAGCCAAAGCATAGCTACAAACGTGGTAGACATCTACTGAGATAGAAAAGCAGTCAACTAATCATCAAGCCGATTTTGCTAATTGATGTATACAATAATTTTTCTAAATCTGGCTGGCTCGGTGACAGGGTTCATAAGGTCACATACGAAACCAAGGTTGATTAAGCATAACAAACGTTCATACTAAAAATGTATTACTTTTAGAGGGGATAGTAGAAAGGAACCAGTCCATAATAGAATCCCCGAGGCGTGTGCCACGCTCACGTCACGAGTGAGCTTTCATTCATTTCTAAAGTGCACCGACGCCACCGAATAAACCTTGATGATGGTGTCTCAACCACGAATAATTAACCCTTCGAAGCAACCTTTGCCAAAAATACACCAGACCGCCAAATTTTGTTCGCTCGAAACTCCCGATCTTTACTCCGTAGGTGTTTATATATGCACCCACGGTAACATTACTTTTTTCATATAACCCATGCCTTGAAATATTGTCGTCAGTTTTACATGATCAAGTGTGATATGAAACATCTCGTTTTGCCGGGATGGGCGGCGGCGGCTTCTTCGACCGGCTCGGTGGTGGTGGCGGAGGCGCCTTTTTGGCCGTTGTCGGAGCAGGGGTGGGACGAAGAGCAGTATTGCTTGTGGTTCGACTCAAGCTCCCGTAGCTAGTAGCAGGACTATCGCTGCGGTCATAATCGGGACTGCCGCTGCTCGTTGCTGTATCATAATCATCGCCAAAGCAATCGGGACTGAGGTTCTGGGTGGTTTGGATTCTGCTGACAGGGCGCAAATTGCTGCGTAGACTGCCAACATTGGGAGGCATAGTCTGGGTCGGGCGTACAGATATTTCAGGAACAGGAGGTTGTGGTGGCTCGCGGTACGTCACAGAACGGTTAATGGTGGGACGTACTACTTCATGTGTCGCACTGCCCCCTGATGCGGACCGGTTCGATCGAATGGGCATTCGCACTGCTTCGGGAGTCGGCTCGCGATTGTAGATGTCCTGTCGACCCGCCCACTGTTCAGCCCGATCGTCGACTTCGGAGTGGGATCGAATCACATCTCCTCTCTGTCGATTTGTCGGGCGTCGAACACTACCAAAATCCGAAGCGCGGGAGCCTGCCGGCGATTGTGTCTGGCTTCCCATCCAATCCTGCTTGACCCTTCGAAGTTCCTCGGCACAACGTTCGTAGTAGTCGAGCTCGCTATCTAGAAAGTTGCCTAGGTCCCGGACGGAGTCTGCTTCTGCTTCCTTGATGTCCATCATGCGGCGGTATACGTCCTCGGACGACTCTTCATATTTCGCTTTCGACGTTCGGAGCTCGTCCTCTAGTCGGAAGTCTTCACGTTTCGCTTTCTGTATCTTGGTGGCACAGGATTCGTATGTCAGGCGACGATTCTCGAGCTTCTTGCGGGCAGACTGTTTGTGAAGATGTTAGCGTGGGGTAGAGGAAGAGTCGAGATGAAGAGACCAACCTGATACTCCTTCATCATTGCCAGCGACCGCTCTAGCCCTTCCAGCCAGTATGATGTGGCGTGAGAAACATAGGTCTCTTGAAGACCAGCAATTCGTTCGTTTGCTCGTCCCATTGCTATCGTGCTATTAGTGGACGTGCTTGGATAATAATTCTCCTTCGTCACAGAGAAACATACCTATCAAGTTGTTGCCATATTCGGAATCAGGCTCGAATTCCTCACCATGGGCAATCATGGTCCGGCCGAGGTAGCTAACAGGTAGACCCTTCTCCTTGTCCTCGAAGGTCTCGCCTCGACGTGAGAGTGACTTTATGTATACGTTCATCGACTTCTGGAGACGGTCCATGCCTGTCCAAAGAGGTAGGTGTTAGCAATTGCGCAATTGGAGGCTCGGCTAGTGGTGGTAGTATAGAAGATTGAACATACCATCATACCGCAAGCTCATCTCGGTCTCTAACATTTTGAAGTCATCGGAGTGTGTGATCTTGGCCTCGTGGCCCATCTTCTCGCCAGCCCATTGAAAGGCGCGGTCTATCTTCTTTGTGAACACCATCTTGAGTGCAGGTCTGCTGTGCTGTACTGTATCGGTGCTTGGTCTATTGCATCAGTTGGAGCGAGATCGACCGTCCAGATGCGTGAGGATGAATGACAGAGTTCGTTAAAGAGAGAAAGGAACGGGAGAGACACAAGAACGAGAGACAGAACGCAGAACAGAAAACAAAAAGGCTGGTATCGGATTGTTCGAGGTTGGGTGCGAGGGGAGGATGTATATTCGATACTCGAGAGCTACCGTGAGCGAGCTTGAATTGTCGAATTGTCTTGTCCTGTGTCGGGGTGGCGTAGTGGAGACGTGGGCCCCCTGGTCGGCTGTTCAGAAGCCCCTGTCAATCTCGAGATAGCGCAGTTATAGTGGTTTTATAGTGGTCCTTGAAGCACAGCTAGTGTCTGAAGCGGCGTGGCATCTAGATTAGGTGGTCTCGGTGGTGTCCAGGCGCCCGAGGTGCTGCCAGAAGAGGGTCCTCTAGGGTCCTCTAGGGGGTCGATAGTGGTGGTCGATAGGCTACGAGCTGCAGCTAGGTAGTTGGTGAGCTTGCAGCGTGCAGGGTGCTGTGCGTGTGGCATGCAGGTACCTACGCTAAAAGACCAAGCGCGGAGATCGGAGGGTTCTCAAAGTGTGGAGGGTCTCGAGTACAGGATTTGAGGCTCGTTCTCGGCCAGTCCTTCTTCTTGATCCTTCTTCTTGATTAGCGTGATATGTAGAGTGTGGAGAGGTGGGCATCGATGGTAAAGAGAGGAATACTATGTAGACGAAGAGGGAAGAGAAACGAGAATAGAAGAAGGGTTGGAAACCCCCACGCACGCAAGACACGGCGAGAAGGGCGGCATATATATCACTTGACAGTAGGTAGGGTACGTGTAACGCAATGCCACCAACAAAAGTCGGCACTGGAATCTAGGAGTGGCAATATATTGTTGACGGGACGATCGTGCGGAGAAGGGGTCATCATGCAAGAGGAGGCACACATGTCCACTTACCGTGATAAGGGTTTATTTAGTAAGGGATAGGATAGGTAGATCAATATGGCAGCAATATGAGAGGATACGAGGGGGGGCAGGTATATTCTCCCCGGGTATATCAAAGGAAGATCTGGCTAATGATGTAATGATACAAATGACCGATTGATCAGATGGCGTCGACTTGGACTTGGGCTTTGCTCTCAGAACTCGGGGTCGTTAGGTAGAAGGGAAATGAATGAAGGGGAACAATAAAGAGAAAAGAAGGGAGAGGGAGAGAGCATGTGTGTGTGTGTGTGATGATCGGGGATCTCCTAGGTTATTATCCCACGGCAATACCTAAGATCATCTAAACTTTATCTATAGCTTAAATTCTATCTATCTGGCTATGTAGTTGAAGTTAATGCCTAGGTACATGGTAGATATTAGTGCTGGCGTGTGCAAGGGGAGGAGAGCGGTTAAACTTCGACTTAATTACCTTGATGAAAGTTACTGGAAGATACTCGTCGGTACTTTTGACGATGCGCAATTGCGCACAGTTGGGTATGCACTGGATGTGTTTATGGACAGCTTTCTTTGTATTTCCACGTACCGTGGACTTATTGTCATCTGCCTAATCTGGCCTGAAACAGACAACCTTGGAGATGACGATTGGCTGCGAAGAAAACCGAGTACGAACATGGTATGATTGCTACAAAAAAAAAAAAAAAAAAAAAAAAAATATGCGTGGATTAGAGTATATCCCGCCAAAAAAGTTTAATTTTATTTCACGTGGAATGGAGAATTATTGGCCTTATTTGAGAGTCCATGAACCTGGTGGACATTTCTGTCATTCTATCAAGCATCTCTCTGTTGATTTTCTGGATTCAAAACTTGTGGAAAGTGAGAATATACAACTATTGTAGCTCCTGGGCTCTGTGCAAGTGTCAGTCAGTATCGTCAACCCCCCACCGTTGCGGAACTCTCCGTCTCTTACTACCATATATATTCCCAAGGACGAAAGACCCGTTTTACAAGCGCGTATCGGTAACCTGTGGCCCAATGAATAACTCTTATTTTTGTTGAGGCTTCTGACACCGCGGGAAGACGGGGAAAGATGGGGAAAACGCCCTTGGGTCCAGGTTAAGCTTGAACTGCGCCTCAATTGATGCGTTTCGTCTCTCTCCATTCGCCCCATATCCATTCGACGATCCAGGGGTTCGGTTCCGTCCAACGCCTGGAAAACGCCTCAGCGAACACGAAGCCTTGCCTGTCGAGCCCGTCCAGAATGGCGAGTGTTAACTGGAATAGGTAGGTTATGCAGGTGTTTGTTCATTCACCTACACCAAGCAGCCTCGTATACGTATCATCCATCTTCGTTGGAGCGATCTTCGCAAGTCGAATGAACAGTAAGACAGCGTCATGATATAGAGCCACGAGGAAATACAGGGAGCTCAACTATGCACTCGGCCCAAATCTTGCAGCATCGCATAAGGACGGTCTTTTCGAGTTCCCTTTCTTGCTTTTTTCTCAGTCACATCCCGTCACTGATGCGAAACAATGCGTGTGCTTTGCAGGCCGTTGAAACCTTTCCGACCATTCACGACATGTTGTGATCAGGCGTGCCCAGCATTGGCAATAAGCCCTCATCATCTACATACCCGTGTCGAAGATTGTAAGTCAACAACTGCCTACAATACCTAAGTAGGTAGTGCGATGTGTAATCTTACACCACTGTCGCCACTATCAAGATCGCGTGTCTGTCGTGCGCTCGACAATGGTATGACCGACTCTGACCGACTTACTTAAATTTGGGCATCCTTCGGAGCTTTCATTGGACAATAAATACCAGGAATTGCAAGCATTTGCGTCGCTTCGTGTAGACATCGCACAGCTGCCAGTCAATCAAGACTACTGCGCCCCCAGCGTAACGCCCTGTCGGGAATGATGCTTATCGTGTGCCAAGTAACGGGCATATAGGCTGATATGCAGTGTAAGATGTTTACGCGCCGTGCTGGAAATGACGAAGAGGCTGTGAGATAGGCAACTAATGAGGTAGGTAATGTAAGCCGCTAAATGTGAATATCCTCTCATAGGGCAATTCGCACATAAAACTGCCGCTCTAAGCCGTTTCATCTTCTTTCTCTCTTCGCCAATTATCGGCAGCCAGGTACTACTGGCCAGTACTGGCCGAGTGGCTGTCGGGCCATGTCTCATCGATGATGCTGCTGTACACATAATAGGTGCACTTGATCAGTCTGAAGCACCGATGTGAAGCACCGATAGCATGCACAATAACCAACAACTCTTTCGTCACCAAGAATGCGCCCGGCACTCTGTTTCGATAATAGCTCGTACGTGGCGTTTCGTTGCGCCGATCGAAATGCTTGGCTAGGTTCAAGGGAGAGACCGGTTCTGACCGGTATTCGCACAAGCTGTTGAGACGAGATGTTGTTGGTGCTCCTCAACGCCGCCCTCGCCACAAATGATTCTGTTCTCCGGTCGCAGGATGCACAAGTGCAGGCGAGCCAATTGCTATACCCTCATCCTAAGGCCTGCTAAGATATCTGTGATTCGTGCAAGATAAGACAGATGTTAGTTAGTCTGCTTGCATCCCATCCTAGGCTAAGACCTTGGTTCTAGAGTTAGTGTCTCAATCAATCAATGTTCTTCATCCCGAATGTCAAGACAATCAGACTTTCTAGAACACAACAGCCCAGCCGACGGCGAACCCCGGGATTCCAATTGACAGAACTCAGCTGTACATGTACCTATGTATGTAGGCATGTACATGTACGCGAGAGCACCAACGAACTGCTCTACTTACCATCTTTCGTTTCCTTCATGGTCTCCTCCCCACGTGGTCCCCATTATTAGGAAAAGCACCAGAGCCGCCAAGCCTGGGCATTGTCGATGCTCCTGTCTTTTCTAGTTAGGCATGATCCTTACAGACATCGTGATAGGCTCGACGAGGGATGAGCAGATGAGCTACCAGGTTCGCGGTGCCCTTGACATGGTCGGCCCACTACTATCTACAGATTACATCTGCTGGGAACAGAAACAATCGAATCAAAGGTAGCATGTGCCTGTATGTGCCAAGAGTGCGGCGTCGGCGTTGCGATGCCGATATGTAGGTATTTAAATGTTATTTCCAGCGTGCGCGTCAGCTCTCTTGTTTTGCTGCTTCGACGAGGTTTCGCAGCCAGGGCGAGAAGCTAGACAATACACGTTCGGAGATTGATCGCCTGGTTCAAGACAGGTCAATTGGCGCTACGACGTCAACGGGAGGGTCAAATAGGTCAAATCAATTGCCCATCATGGTCCGCGCGACATTGCCGCTCTTGTCGCTTGCCGTAGCCGGCCTCAGCCTCGCTGAGGACTCGCTGTACAGCAAGCGGGCAAACAAGCGCTTCATCGACGACGGTGGTAACTACAATATCTCGTTCTACCACATCAACGATGTCCACGCCCACTTGGACCAGTTCTCGTCCTCCGGCACGGACTGCACGAGCCCTGAGAAGGGCTGTTACGGAGGCTATGCGCGGGTCAAGACTGTCCTCGACGAGACCCGGCCGGATCACCCTGATAGCTTGGTACTTAATGTTGGCGACGAGTTTCAGGGCACGCTGTTCTTCAGCTTCTACGGCGGCGAGAAGATCGCCGACACTCTCAACCAGGTGGGTGAACGACGACCAATGCGGACTCAGCAGCACCCTTAGAGGCTCAGGATAATTGCTTACGGAGGTTTTAGATCGGGTTCGATGCTATGACACTCGGTAACCACGAATGGGACCGCGGTGACGACTACTTGGGCGATTTTCTCAATAATCTGACATTCCCCATCGTCTCGGCAAACATCGTCTCAGATAACAAGAAGTTGAACTGTGAGCAACCCGTCACGAGAGAGGGAGAGAAACTTTACTAAATCATGACATCCCAGCTACAATCAAGCCCTACCACATCTTCGAAAAGTACGGGCTGGCCATCATCGGCGCAACCACGGAGACAGTTTCCAGCATCAGCAATCCCGGCCCAGGCACGCAGTTCACGGACGTCGTGGCCGCCGTCCAGGCCGCCGTCGACGAGATCCGCAGCACCACCAACATCACGCGCATCGCGGCCATCACGCACATCGGCTACGAAGAAGATAAGCGTCTCGCGCAGGAGATCTCGGGTCTGCAGCTCATCATGGGCGGACACTCGCACACGCTTCTCGGCGACGCCGAGGACGCCAAGGGACCTTACCCGACTATCGAGACGAACAAGGATGGTGATGAGGTCTTTATCGTCACGGCGTATCGCTGGGGAGAGTACCTTGGGTACATCGATGTTACGTTCGACGAGGAGGGCAAGATCCTTGCGTACCATGGTGCCCCCATGCATTTGACCAATACCACGAAGCTGGATGAGGAGCTTCAGGTACGTCCCTCTTTTTGTTCCTTATTTTCCTTTTCTCCGTAGACTAACTCCCAAGTTACGCAGGCCAAAATCAAGGAGTGGAGGGGTCCGTTCGAGAAGTTCGCGGCCGAGGAGATTGGGGAGTCTAACATCGTCCTCGACCAGACCACGTGCCAGGATAAGGAGTGCACGCTAGGCGATCTGATCAGCGAGTAAGTTCGAAGTCCCTCCTACCCAATCCCTATTAGCAAACCTCCTAATAAGCAATCAATACTGATGCAAGTCCCAGCGCCATGCTCCAATACCGTCTCGACAGCGGCAGCTCCGCCGTCTTCGCCTTCGCCAACGCCGGCGGTATCCGCGCCAGCATCGACCAAGGGCCCATCACGCGCGGCGAGGTCCTCACCTCCTTCCCCTTCAGCAACGCCGTAGTCGAGATCGAATTCACAGGCGCCCAGCTCTGGAGCACTTTCGAGGGCATCGTGAGCGCCGTGAACCAAGAGAACGGCGAGCCCGTGACGAGCTTCGTGCAGGTTAGCAAGGGCATCAAGATCGGTTATAACCCCGACAACGAAGTCGGCGACCGACTTGTCAGCCTCGAGATTGGCGGCGAGGATGTCGATATGGAGGCTGACTACACCGTTGTTACGATTGACTTTTTGGCCGGCGGTGGCGATAATTTCATCGAGCCGATTGAGGATCTTGTTGTTCTGGATACTCTCGACGAGGTCCTTGTGGAGTATATCAAGGCGAAAAGTCCCATTGATTTCGAACTTGACGGGCGTATTGCCGTGGTTGATGGTGCTGGTGGTAGTGGAAGTGGGAGCGGTGGTAATGGCTCTACACCTACGGGTGCCACTCCATCGCCGACAGTCATGCCTGGTGCTGCTGGGACTGTGGGTGTTGTCTCGGGCGTCGTCCTTCTTGTTTGGACTGCCCTGTTGGCTGTTGTCGTCATGTACTAGTAGATTACTATCTGTGTCGAAGAGGGGCTTTCACGAGCCCTGATACACGTAAGCAATAGTCATGCTCTTTCGCAATCGCTAAGAGTTGGAGGCATGTTGTAATATAAAATAGAAGTTCTTGTGCATTATAGAGTCATAATCATAATTAGATGTAATGACTTGAAAAGAAATAGAGACTATCCGTTCTAGTCCCGTTTCCCCTTCTCTTTTCCTTAAGTGTCACTATGAAAACGCTCGAATTGGTGTAAGACGAATGAGAAAAAGGAAAAAAAGAAAACAAAAGGGGAAAAAAAATATCGTCCGTCTATGATTCGTGGAAGCATTGCCAGTAACTAGGTAGGTAGCCGAAAGCTGACGTTAATGTGGTTTTCATTCTGACCTTAAGATGCTGCCTTCGACTCTATAGTCAATCAGGCCAGTTGACAATACGTCAGTGGGTTGACGGCAACCGTACCTAACTATGCGCAAACTATATCAGCATATTGCAATAGCTCCGAATCCGTAACGAAGTGTTCCAAACAATCTAGGTCGATTGGCATCTCTACTTCCAGTGCAAGCTCGTCTGCGGCCACCCCATCAGTTGCTGACGGTACGGCCCTAATGGTCCCAGGGAGGCCGGGCCGGTACACATTTCGGACAGCACAAGGTGCGCCAAAGCCAAAGTCGGCGGTATAGTGTGATGCATGTCTCATATCCGTTAATGCCATATCAAAGCGTTGTAGGGTCTTTGCAGCCAAGCCAGCTGATGTCTTATCCTTCAAAGTCGCCACCCGGCTGATAAGATCCAGGACCTTCGCTTCAGTCACCCCGCTGTGGGCTGCACGGACGAGAGAACTCAGGCGCGGTAGACTGCCGGCTGCTACGGCATCAGTCACCAGGATCGGCTCTGTCAAGACGCCTATTGTAGCGTTTCCTTGGAAAAGGGGGCTAAGTGGCGGATTGAACCTGGACCGAAGATCAACTGTTTGTGCAAGAATAGTGGTCTCGTCGTGGGCAGGCTTGTATACTTTGAGCCTAGCTGCTGTGACGCATTTCCAGATGAGAGCACAGATCGCGTCATACGTCGACGTCTTATCATGTTCTGAAGATGCTGCTTGTTTGATTCTTCGTATCCCGTCCTTGTGAAAGTGAATGACTACAGGCTGCATACTCTTCGCCTGGACGCTCAAATTAGGCGTCGAGGGACGTGTTGACAACGAATCGACTCTGTTCTCTGTCGAGGTACGCTTGCCCATCAAACGGCCGCGATCAGACTCGTCATGAAGCGAGGTTCTCAGGGGGATTTTCTTCTTGTGAGCCAAGTGCATGGCATTGCTCGCCCACTGGTCGATGAACGCGCACATGGCAGCACCGTCGACGCCAACGTGATGAAACCCATATGTCAAAATTACGCCACCCTCGATCCAAGTCGCTTGAAACTTAGCTAACGGTCGATTTTCTAGAGTAGCCTTCATTCGCGGAATCCCGGGAGGGTAATTGCTCTTGCCCTTCAGTGTTTCGTGCAGCTTGAGGTCATTGGGAGGAAACCCGGCATTTTTCAACTTGGCAAGAGAGCTAAATCCGCTGACGGGCATTGAATGGTGCACTATAAATGGAATTGCAGCTACCTTGGTTCGAATCAACTTGAGCTCTCCATGTTCCTTTCTGAAAACGGCGTTCAACATGCGATAGTGGTCGAGTGTAGCAGACAAACTAGTTAACATTCTTCCAAGGAACACCGACCGCATGGATGGCTTCTCAATTGGGTATACCAGCATTGTCTTTAGGAAAACTGGAGGCATTGTGTAATCAAGATCCGAGAGCTGCCATGACTCCTGCAATGGGTCTTTTTGCCAACTTTGAGATCGTACGACGTATAAGTCGTAATCAGTGGAAGGCTTGTGTAGAGTAGCTTCATTAGTGCCAAAATGGCGTTTCAACGTGGAAAGGGACGCATGGAGGGGGAAAAGCGAGGCCCGCGAGCGTGATGTTAGAATGCCGGCTATGCGCCTTGTATTTTGTCCGAGGATTTGTGATGCATTCGTCATGAAGCGCATCGACGGCCTGATCACGGATACCATCTTCAAGTACTGACTATGAGATGAGAACACGCAATCGTTACACGTTCGTTAGCAACTAGGTATGCCAACAAGGACTTTGGGGCCTTTTGGTCTCAAACCACCCGACAAGGGTGTTTGTTAGATGGCTGGTTTGTGCATAACACCAAACCGCAGGGGTCACGAATGAACCCCCCTCACGTAGTAGCCCCACTGTTAGTACTATACTGAGAACTGTATATAAACCTTAACAATATGCCCTTTGCAATACCTAAACGGAAAGACATCAGAAAAATACTATTTTCTAGCATTATTTAAGTAAATTATATCTTTCACTACAGTTGAGTTTTAAAAGAATATTGGTTTAAACGTTGGTTTGAAGGTCACGCTATAATCAATTTCGAAAGTAATGTGGCGGCTATGTCGAGTTTACCATGGTGTACGCGGCTCAAACCAGGCTGTAGCCATATGCTACAGCATAACCAGTTAGGTTAGGGCCTCAAAAAGAAACCGGAATAACGAAGGTGGTACTTGGCCATTCTGTATGGTCAACAGCCAACTAGCAGCGAAGGCTGTGATTACAACTTTAAAACCCCGTTATAATTCAAACTTTAAGCTGATGAAAATTTCCATAGCTTAAATTTTCCATTTTAACTTCAAGTATAAATTACAATACTGTTACTATTTATGCGATTGAATATTATCTCGATCTTCTTTCGTGAATATATAATTAAGTAGGTTGATGAAGGTTTGTGTGGGATTATGTACAGTGCAAATGGTTCGTGACTCCTGTGGCTTGCTTACTGATCAGCACAAAGCTCATCTTTCTCATTATTATGTTGTGTCTTTCGATGTAATGAGATATATAGCTCCAAGCTTAGATACTGAGTGTCGAGTTCACACATAGGTTACAGTGGTGGCCAGTCCCCCACGCGGCATACAGGTTCGACCGCTCATGTTGGTCTCACTTTACAGATTGCATGCGGCATAAGCCCTATCTTACATGAAATCCTAATCATACCCTATGTTCACACGTTAGGTCATACCGACTGTGGGCATCGCTGACTAGATTACAATAGCTTCCAACACACATGTTTTTCTCTTTCTTTTCCTTTACTTTTTTTGTTCTTACGTGAAGCATTAGAGGCATGTTCCAACCAGCGCCAGCTTACCAAAGTCTTGTATCTGGTACCATTATCATTAGATACTGAGGTAGCATACAAGTCCTAGGTTGTCGGAGGTAGCATCGCATCGTGGAGGATCACAGCCCTTCAACTGACAACACATCAGGTATCAAGTCACCATTATTAGCCTCACTGCGAATTGTGCCACTATATATAACGATAGCGTAGTTATAAAAGCATGATATTATTTATCCGATAGATCAAAGCGGTGAGGTTACCATATAGGCAGATCAAATATCCACAACCACGACGTCCAGAGCTTAGTTTCGCTAGGCATATAAGGCAATAGCGGGCTCAGCTCCCCTAGATATCGAGAATTCGATCCGCAAAAGAAGGGTTTATTCAGCCTGATTAACTCAGCATATCTCACTTTGGCAGACGAACTCCATCTTGGATATGAAGCGCAAATCATTAGTATAGATCGGACATATCTCTACGACATATGCATATCTCATTCAAAGACCAGAGCTGTTGTTGCCCAACTTGAGAGACTTATTTATAAGCAATTTCAGAGAGTCTGCCAGAAGACGACAGACTGCTTTATCCAAATACCGCCTAGGACCATGATACCACCAGTGGCCTCGCAGTTCTTGCAGGAGGCGAATTGGAAAAGAGAAAAATGGACCTCATTTATACGACTGAGAGGGCCACCTTATTCTATCTGAACAATCTATTCAAATGGAGCCTACCAAAAAATCTCGACTCTTTGAGGTGGTATCATAAAGCGCTCCTTCACGCGATCAAAATGTTCCTAGTCCTGTGTCAGGGAACATTATAGCACTAGGGTAGAAGTTACCCCAAAGGGTAGAAATAGCGTAGAAGTTAACTATATAAAGGTATCCAAGCTCCCTTTTTATATTTAGGGAGCTAGGAATTAATAATATTAAGCCCTTACCTATACCTTTAACCTATCTACTTCCTATATATTACCTATTAATAATCTAGCCTTACTTTAAAATAAACCTTTATAATAAGTTAATTCCTTTTTTTTATTCCTTAATTATTATTAAACTATTATAAATAGCTATATTAAAGCTAAATAATATAATATCCTTTTATATCCTTAATAATTCCTTTAATAAAATTATAAATGTTAAATTAAATATTAATACCTTTCCAGATTAATAATTAAATATTAAGATTATAATAGTAAAGAAGAAGTTAGCTTTATAAAAAAAATAAAAATAGCTTTAAAATTTATAAAGGGAAGTTAATACTTTAACTATTACTTTCCTTAAGGAAAGTATTAATAAATAAGTTATAAAGAAATTATAAAATAAAGTCTTTATTAAAACTAGTTTATTTACTTTTAAATATAAAGGAAAGATTAAAGTTAAGCTTTTTTTCTTTTTTATTATATTATAATCTTATATTTACTTTATTAAAGCGGAATTAAAGGATAAAATAGTTAAAGTATTTTATATAAATAATAGCTTTAAAAACCTAATTAAAAGGAAATAGATTAATTTCCTTTTTATATATTATAAAAGTAATCCTATTTAAGTTTTTTAAAAAGCATTTTAATAATAGCTTTATATTAACATTTTAAATAATATTACTAATAGTTTAATTATAGCGTTAATATTATAAACCTTTATATAAAGGAATAATAAATCTTTTAATAACTTTTTAAAAAAATTTAAAAAGGTAAAAGTAAAAGACTTTAATAACCTATTAAATAAAGTATAGGTAATATACCTTTTAATAAAGTTAAATAATAAATTATAAATAAAAATTGCTAAAGAATCTATTTTTTAAACCTATAATAAACTAATTATTATAGTAAGGAGGATTAAACTATTAATAAAGGCTATAAAGATTTATACTTTAATAACCCCCTTTTAACCCTTATTGGATAAAATTAGCTAAAGTTATTCTATTATTAAAGTTAAACTTAACTTAACTATTAAATAATAATTACTTTATAGGAATAAAGGATATAGGAAAAGCGATATTCTTTATATTAATATAAGGATAAAGAATTAAAAACCTATTATTTATTATACCTATAGAAAAAAGGGCTATATTATAATTATATATTTATAAAGGCCTTTTTAAAGAATAGGGTCCTATTATATTTATAAAAAGATAGGATATTTCTTTAAAGGGTATTTAAACTATAGCTATATTATTAATATTATACCATTAAGGCCCTGCTATAATATTATAAATATATTAATAATTCTATTAAACTTTAACTATTAGGAAGATTTAACCCCTTATATTTATTTTAAAACCTAAATAAAGTTAAAGATAAAAGGGGAATAAGTTATATTAAATGGATTAATTAATTTTAAAGCGGATTATAATATAATTAATCTATAAATTTTATTTTAAAGAATTAAATTATAATTATATAATAATAATATACCTATTAAAGGGATATTTAAAAAAGAATAATTAAAAGGATAAGCTAACTTCCTTATAAAAGTATATAATAATTTTAAAATAAATAAAAAGGTATTAATTAGCTTTAAGGTTATAATAGATTTTTTATATAATATAATCCTTAAATTAATTTAAAAAAAGTAAATAGATTTAAATTTAAATTGGATTATAAGGAAATAGGTATATTACCTATAAAAAAAGAACGTTGCTTTTATATTAAATATAAAAAAGTAGTAAAGGGTTATAAAGGATTATATAATAATTATTATATTTATAATAGTTAATATAATAACTTTTAAAAAATAGTTAATAATTAATAATAGGATAATTATATTAAAAGAGTTAAAAGAATTTAAAGATTTAACAAACCTTAAATAAGCTAGCCTTTTATTAAAATATTATTTTTTAAAATATTTTATTAAGTTAAAAAAAAGTAAAAAGTTACTATTTAAACCTATTTACCTATTAAATAATAAAAAATAAAAAGTATTATAAAAATATATTAAATAAACTTTAATAAAAGGGTAGATTTATTATTTAAATAGCTTAATTATTACTTTTATTCTTTTTATATTTAAAGTAAGGGGTAAGTTATAATTTTATATTAATTATAGGGGGCTAAACTAATTAATTAAAAAGGACTATATATTATTACCTTTAATTAAAAAAATATTAAATAAGCTTATTTATATTAAAGTCTTTATTAAAGTAAACTTAAAGGATATTTATTATTAATTATACATTTATAAAGGAAATAAATAAAAGATTATATTTTAAATAAAATATAGCTACTTTAAATATTTAATTATACCTTTTAGTTTTATTAATATATTTATTACCTTTTAATAATATATTAACTATATATTTATTAAATTAATAAATTATATTTATATAATTTATTTAACTAAATAATAACGCATCTCCCAATTGACCTGGCCACCCCCCTAGCCCATATAAAAAACGTCGGTGCGCTAATCACGTGATAATTTAATAACTCTACGAATATTGGTCGTATAAAGTAATAAAATATACCGTTAGATTCGTAATAAAAAGAGCTATTTAACGGTATGCCTCACTAACTTTTACGATCTATATCCGCGGAGTTATTAAGCAATACGCTAAAGTAAGCGCTAAAATAATCCTTGCTTAGCGCCCCTTTAGCCTATTGCTTAATATCTCGCTTATTAAATTTTATAAAAAATAGTAAAAAATACCTCTGGATTCCCCTTTAAATAACGGATTTAACGGTACTAATTATTAAATCGTACGATTGGTATTCGTAAAGTTATTAAAGATTGAAATAATAGGGTTTTATATAGGTTATTGGGGTGGCCAGGTCAATTGGGTGGCCAGGTCAAGTGGGAGATGCGTTATTATTATTTATAATAATAATTATAAAAAGCATTTATAATATATTTATAATATTTTAATTAAACTTAAAAAATAAGGCCTTTATATAAATTTAAAAAAGTATAATTAGTTTATTAATTATATTTTATTTCTTAAATTTATAATTACTTTAAAAGGTATTAATATAAATTATAATAAAGTAAAAGTAATTAAGTAATAAATA